AATTTAAACGTTTTTAATTTTTAAAAAAATTTTATTTTTGTTTTATTATTTAAATACCTATTTATTTATTTATTATTTATTTATTTATTTATTCATTATTAAAATTATTTTTATATTATTTTTCAAGCTTTTATTATTATTATTATTATTAACAAAAAAGCAAAATTAATTGCAAAAACGTCTTTAACGAAGATTCAATTAATTTGCCATTTTAATAATAATATGAACGCAAACGCTATAAAATTCGATCTTCAATAATGTCAATCATGCAAAAACCAATAATTCGAACGTCATTATTATTCTATTTTTCGAAAATTAATTTCATCAATTAAATATATTGAGAAATATTATTATTAATTTTCCTCTCAATAAAAGTTTATATTCAATTCTTTTATTTTCAAACTGACACATTTTATTAATAAAGAAGAAATTTGCATAAATTTTTTAATTTATCCTCACAGATAAAGAAACGAGTATAATAACTGAAAATTAGGTCAAAGTCAATAGATAAAGAAAAATATATATTTACTAAAGAACAGGTCAAATAAAAGTAAAATGCTAAAAGTTTAGGTCAAATGTACAGGTCAATGAAGCAAAATTTAGGTCAAAACTAAGAAAAAATATTATTTTAAAAATTAGGTCAAATGTACAGGTCAATAAAGCAAAATTTAGGTCAAAACTAAGAAAAAATATTATTTTAAAAATTAGGTCAAATGAAAATGTAATAATATGAATTTGGTTAAATCCGAGGTCCAATCGCGAAATTAATTTTAAAAATTTAGGTCAAAACTAAGAAAAAATATTTTAAAATTAGGTCAAGTAGAAATGTAATAATAAGAATTTGGTCAAATCCAAGGTCAAATCGCGAAATTAATTGAAAAATTTTAGGTTAAAAGTAATAGCAAAATTTAGGTCAAAACTAAGAAAAAAAATTATTTTAAATTTAGGTTAAATAAAAATATAATAATAAGAATTTGGTCAATTCGCGAAAGTAATTGAATAGGAATATTTAATTTCAAAAAATTAGGTCAAGTGAAAATGTAATTTTAACATTTAGGTCCAATGTCAAGACCAAAAAGTGGAAGCACTTGAAAATTTTAGGTCAAAATTACAGAGATAAAAATAATTTCAAAAATTAGGTTGAATTATAAATTCAATCTTATCGTTTAGGTCAAATTTAGGTCAAATGCTTAGGTCATTACGAAAAATTTATTGACAACGTTAATTCAATGAATAAAATTTATTTCTTTGAATTTTTAAATATTTTCCAACTTTTACTTAATTGGAGTTTTTTTTTATTGAAATTATATTTAATTAAAAGTACTTTAATAAAATTGAAAATACAATTGCGGATGGAAATATTAAATTTCCAATATTTCAAGAAGAAATGTATAAGAAGGAAAAAAAGTTCATTTAAAAGTGATGCGTGAATAGTAATGAAAAATTTATTTCAAATAATTACGAAAATTGATATGAAATTTCTATTTGAAGTGTATTTTTTAGAGGTGAAAATTTATAGATTTTTTTTTTGTTTTTTGCTTTTTTTTAATAAAGCTTCGCGAATGAAAAAAGAGGGAAAATCGTTATTGGGGCCATTTGAGATTTAAAAGCTTTGTGCAAAGCATACTGGCCTTTGAGTCAAAAAGGAAAGTTCAATTATTAGTGGAATATGCGCTTGAAAAACAGTTTCAAGTTAACGAGAGGGAACAAAGTTGAATCCGTTTTTTTTTATTTTGATTGAGAATATATTGCAATAACGAATAATTTCAAAAATATATTGTTAAATTTTTCTGTTATGATGATAATAATAATCCGTCTCATGATTATCGCCGATAATTTAAGGTTATGTTTAGTTATTTTTATTTTTTTCCTGCTAAATTTTTAATAAATGAAAATTAAGCTAAATTAAATTTTTATTAAAGAAAAATTTCGCTGAATTAATTTTTTACTCAATTAAAATTTTAACAATTACTCTTAATGTTTATTAATTAATAAACTGCTCAAATAGTAAATTAATTAATTTGTCACCTAAAGACAAATTAATTAATTTACTATTCGATCAGTTTATTAATTAATAAACGAATTAAATTTATAAGTAAGTTAAGAATTGGAAAATTTTATTAATAAAGGAATTAATCAATAAACAAAATGATGAAGAGACAGATTAATTAACAATCTACTTATTGAATAAATTTGTAAATAATAAAATAAATTTACTGGTTAAATAAATTAATTAGTAAACCAGTTATTAAATACAAAGGTGATTAATGTGATTTTGTTAATAATTTGTAATTAGGTAATAATTTCATTTTTAAAGTTTATTAAAATATTGTTAAAAAATGGAATACTTTTAAAGAGTTTTATTAAACTTTTCGAAAATAATTCAATTTGTTTGACTAAATTCTTTAAATCTATTAAAAATAAACTAATTTTTTTAAAAATTTTAACTGAAAATTTAGTTTTTACTTAAAATTTTTTCAAAAAATTTCTCTCAATTTCTTAATATAATAGTGTTTGTTAGTTTTAAAAATTGATTTTTTTCGAGTAATTCGATTAAAATTGTATTAAAAATCATTGAAATTCTTGAATGAGTTTTAATATTTATAAAAGTAATTGAATAATTGAGAAGAAATTTATAAAAAAAAAAATTGTAAATAATTAAATTCCTGGGGAATTTGTATTCTTTATGAAAATAATTAAATGTTTGCGACAAATTTTATTAAAATTTTGTTAAATAATTGAATTCTTAAGAAGAATTATATTATTTATGAAAATAATTGAATTCTTTCAACGAATTTTAATAACATTTTGAAGAAATTAATAAATTTTTCCAGGAATTCAATTAAAATTGTATTAAGAATAATTGAAATCATGCTATAATTTTTAAAATTTTTTGAATATAATTGAATTTATGCCAAGAATTTTATTAAAATTTTCAAAAATAATAAGATTCCTTTGAAAAATTCGCAAAAATTCAATTATTTTCGAAAATTTTAATAAAATACTTGACATAAATTGAAAATAAAAAAAATTCTTTACAAATCTTTAATTATTTTCAAAAATCTTAATAAAATTCTTCGCAAGAATTTTCAATTATTTTCATAAATATCCAAATGTTGGCAGAAGTTTAAATATTTAAAAAATTTTTTTTTTTAAATTTCCATGATAAAATTCAATTATTTAAAAAATTTTAATGGAATTCTTCGAAATAGTTCAATTATTGACAAGAATTTTGAATTTTTATACAATTCTTTATAATAGAATTAAATTATTTTCAATATAATTTTAATTGAATTGCATGAAAGAATTTAAAATTTTTGAAAATAATTGAAATTTTACTATGAATTTTATTAAAATTTTTAAAAATAATTAAATTTTATTATCTTTGAAAATAATTAAATTCTTGTGATACATATTGTTATTTATGAAAATAATTGAATTTTGCAATGAATTTTATTAAAATTTCTGAAAACAATTAAAGTTTGTCGAAGAATTTTCCTATTTAATTATAAAAATAATTAAAATGGTGACAATTTTTTTTTTTTTTTTTTTTTGATTTTTTGAAAATAAATGAATTTTTGCGAAGAATTTTCTTAATTTTGAAAATAATTTAATTCTTCTGATGAATATTATTATTTATTTGAAAATAATTGAATTTTACAATGAATTTTATTAAAATTTCTGAAAATAATTGAATTTTGTCGAAGAATTTTTCTATTCAATTATAAAGATAATCGAAATGGTGACAACAATTTTTTTTTAGATTTTTTTCTTAAAGTAATTGAATTTCTGAAAAGAATTTTCTTAATTTTGAAAATAATTGAATTCTTGTGATGAATATTGTTATTTAATAAAAATAATTGAATTCTTGTGATGAATATTGTTATTTAATAAAAATAATTGAATTTTACAATGAATTTTTTAAATATTTCTAAATATAATTGAATTTCAGCGAAGAATTTTGCTATTTATAAAGATAATTGAAATGTTGACGAGAATTTTTTAAAAAAATTTTGAAATTATAATTGAATTTTTGAAAAGAATTTTAATATTTATTAAGATAGTTGAATTCTTTCAAAAAAGTGCGTCAAAATCTTTAAAATTGAAACTAATTAGTTATTCAATTCAATTAAGTTATTAAAAATAAATTATTGTCAGAAATAGAAAAAAATTTAAGGTTTTTTTTAGAATTCATATGTTAGTATTTTATAGTTTTTCTTCTTCTGGAACATTTTTCAAGCTTTAGCCGCCATATTGGCGTCCGCCATCTTGAAATTAGGAATTTATTGTTTCAGACTTTTGTATAGCGATATTTTAAGATTTAAGTGTATGCGCTTGTAAAAATAAAGGCTAAAAAAAATTTTTTTTTTCTAAAAATCTTGTTTTTCGGTAATAATTTGTTTATAACTTTTCAAATATTAATTATAATTCAATTTTAATAGCAGCATTCGAAAGAACAATTAAATTTACGTTGAAAATGGTACATGCCAAATTTTTATTCTGCGTGGAGAAAAATACAAATTAACTTTTACTATATACCCCATATACTTTTATAGTAAAACATTTCTGGTAACTTTTACTATACTTTCGGAGTAAATTTTACTAATTTTTTTCCAAATATGTTCTTTTACTATACTTTCGGAGTAAATTTTGTTATAATCGAAGTAAATTTTACTAATTTTTTTCCAAATATGTTCTTTGAAGTAAAATTTTCTTCGAACGTAGCAAAATTTACTCCAAATGTATAGTAAAAAGTTACCGGAAATGTTTTACTATAAAAGTAGTAAAAGTTGCTATATATTTTTCTTCGTGTGCATTTCTATAAAAAAAAAAACGAAATCTTCAAAGTAAAGAGGAATTTTTCTGAGCGAATGGATTAAAAGCAGCTTCATAAAAACCCGATGCGGAAAACATCTTCTTTCCGCACTCGGTACACAATCGAATCAAATAATCAACTCCTTAAAAATAAAATAGAAAATAACTCAAAAGTAAAGACTCACCGCTTTAGAAGAGAGGCAGGCATCGTTGAGATAAAGATGATGCGTTTCCCATCGTCTCAAAAATTTACTGGACAGAATTTTACTGACAAGTGTGCGTGTATGATTGAGATAGCAAACTTGAATGTCGCCCTCCTCCAATGGCTTGAAACGTGGTCCAGCCGGTCCCGGACTTGGACTCGACGATCCACTCGTACTCAAAAAACCAGCACTCTGTCGTTCCAAATTTGGACACGAACGCGCCACTGGTAAACAAGCCGTTGCTTCTAAATTATCCGGTTTCAATAGACATTTACTGTCAATAGTGTCGCTGTCATCTCGCAAACTTCCCGTATCCGGCTCCTTAGCGGGCAGCTCATCCATTTGATTATTAACATCCGTCGATAATTGCGGTGAACTTGTACTCGTTGATTCCTGTCTCATTGCACCGCCATTCACCGATAAAAATCCATAGTAAGGAATTGACGTTGAATTAAGTCCCACCGTTGACGCCGCAGCCGGACTCGATGGCATTGACGAGCCATCTTCTGTTTCCGTTTCCTGATTACAAATATCATAGTCATCAAATTCCTCCTCCTCCTCTTCCTCCTCCTCTTCCTCCAGTTCAAGATCCTTCTCATCCTCCTCGTCCTCCTGATCGCTGAAACCATTAACCAATGGAATTCCATTGACCGCAAAAATTCCCGCACCGGGAACATTGAGATAATCACGACGATCTAAATCCGGATTACGTGATGATGATGCGCCTGAGGATGGTGTCGATTCACTGGCTGGCGATGGGGATGAACTGCGTAATTCCCCATTACTTGAATTTGACGAGTCCGACGAGCGAATACGGAGAAGAAGCTTTTTACGCCAACGAGTTTTTTCTGTTTGATTATTGGAATGTTGTTGTTGATGATGATGATGATGATGATTGTTTGTATCGTTGCGATGTGATGTCTTGTCGTAATTCACATCGGGATGTAGGACAAGTTCCTGATGACCGTTGGAGACTTTAATTACATTTATACTGGGCGATGTAATAATTAGGGAATCGGGACCTGGCGATAAAGGATCATTCTCGAGATAATCGGCTTTGATGCCGGGCAATGTGTCGGTACTACTACCACCGGATATTGATAATTCTTGATCAATATAACGGATTGACGATGAACCGGAACCCTCGCTTGTTGCCTCGGAACCGCGACGTTTTGTTTCCGGATGATCGTCCTTGTTTGTTGTTTGGGAATTTGTGTGGGAATTTGTGACAACGCCACGTGATGTGCGGGAAAATGGTCTTTGGAAGCAGAACATTTTCGTTATTTCTTCTTCTTCTTTCTTGGAAGATTATGAAATTTTTGGAATATTGTTTTTTGTTTGGAATTTAGTATGGAAGATTAGGTTTGAGGAAGAAAATTTCTTCTTTTCTTAATTTTGGTCCTTGATGATTTTTAGCTTCATTTTTTGCGAACTCTTCGGAAGGAGCTGATCATCATTTGGAAGATGCTTCTGCACTTTTTATGGAATGAAATTCTTCTTTCTTCTTCTCTTTTATTTTCTACTTTTTATTTCTCTTCTTCCGTTTTTTCTACTTCTTTTTATTTTCAACTTCTTGTTTCTCTTCTTCTTTATCAACTTCTTGTTTCTCTTCTTTTTAAACTTCTTGTTTTTCTTCTTCTGCTTTTTCTACTTCTTCTTTATCAAATGTTGGTTTTTCTTCTGTTTCTTCTTCTTTCTTTCTACTTCTTCTTTATCAAATGTTGGTTTTTTTTCTTTTTTCTACTTCTTCTTTATCAACCGTTGGTTTTTCTTCTGTTTCTTCTTTTTTTCTACTTCTTCTTTATCAACTGTTGATTTTTCGACTTTTTCTTCTTCTTCTTCTTTTTCGACTTCTTCTTTATCAACTTTTTGTTTTTCTTCTTCTTTTTCAACTTTTTCTTCTTCTCCTTTTGTCTTCTTCTTTTTCTTCTTCTTCTTTCTCTTTATCTGCTTTCACCTCCTCTCCACTTCTTCCTATTAAATTTCCAGTTTACTTATTAAATTATTTCCTCCAGGAATAGAATAAAAATTATTTTAATTTTCCCTTTCACAGCAAAAAGTGAATTTTAATTTTCTATATTTATTTAATTTTATTTATTTTAATAATTCTGAAATATTTTATATATTTTAATAATTCTGAAATATTTTATTTATTTTTATTTGGAAAAATTCTTGTAATCGTCAAATATTCATAATTATTGAAATATAATAATTTTTGTTTTGTTGTTAATTTATCGGAATATTTCATTAACCATTAAATATTTTTAAGCATTGAATTATTTTAAAATATCGAAGAATTTTCTTTTTTCCTATTTATGAATTTTAACGATAGTTAAATTTTTAGGTATTTTATTGGATAAATTTGAAATTTTTAGTATTTAAATAATTTTTTTTCTTTTTAGTGATAACAAGTGAAAAAGAAAGGAAAATATTTATTGGTATATTTGTGACTGACAGTAATTATTTTAGGATTTAACAATATTTTTTTATAAATATTGTATTTCATGACCATTGAATTTTATGAATATGAAATTTTATGACCACTTTTTTGAGAGAGAGAGAGAAAATATTTGAATAATCAAAGTAATTTCATCACCAAGGTTGCTTTAGGGTCAAAATATTTTATGACCAAAGTATTTTGATCCTCAAGATATTTTATGGCTACTGTACTTTGTTTTAATTTATTTTATGACCAAAGTATTTTTTACTTTTGTGGCCAATGCACTTTTTATTTTATGACCAAAAGTATTTTTACTTTATGACCAAAAGTATAGTTAAAAATACCAGAAGTATTTTTATTTTATGACCAGAAGTATTTTTTTAATTTTATGACCAAGAGTATTTTTACTTTATGATCAAAAGTATTTTTATTTTATGACCAATAGTATTTTTATGACCAAAAGTATTTTTACTTTTTGACAATATACTTTTTATTTTATGGCCGAATTATGTATTTAATCACGAAGGAATTTATTTTCTGACCGAGGGATTTATTTTATGCTAATGGTATTTATTTTATAGCCAAATTATTTATTTTATGATCAAAACTATTTTTTTCTAAACTTTAATTTTATTTTCCACTTCTTTAAAATTTGTTGTTTTCATTCGTCTTTTTTTTGTTTACGTTTTATATTTTTGTTTATTTCCTGGTAATTTCGTAGAATTTTTTTGTTTTGTTTCTATTGTTTTTGTTTGTTAATTTACTATTTACCTTTTCTTTATCACTTCGTTTGTTTGTTTTTCTTTATCTTTTGAAAGCAAAACTATATCTTCAAATAAATTTTTGTAATTAATTTATTTTTATATAGACTTTTTCGTCTAGTTTCTATATCTTCAATTTTTCTTCTTCTTTACGCTTTTAGTTCTTCTTTTTTTTCTTCTTTTGTCGTTAATTATTTTATTTATTCAATTTAATATTCTATTTCTTCTTTCAATATAATTTTTATATTGTAACAAAATTTTCTTTTTCAATGTTTTCTAATTCTGTTTTCGAATTTTTTTTTCATTCTTCTTTCACTTTCTTTTCTTCTTTCACTATTTGTTTCTTATTTCACTTTTTATTCTCACTAATAATTTTTTTTTTCGTTTTTCACACTTTGTTTCTTATTTCTTCTTTCACTTTGTTTGGATAATCCTTTTTTTATTTCTTCTTTCACTTTGTTTTATTTCTTCTTTTCGGTTATTTCGCTTCTTCTTTTCCTTTGATTTCTTTCTTCTTTTTTTCTTTGCCTATTTTTCACTTCTCCCTTTTTTCTTAGCTTCTTTTCTTTGTTATCTCCTTTCTCTTCTTTTATGTCCTTTTCTCTCTTTCTTTCCTTTCTTTAGTATTTCACATTATTTTCTTTTTTGTCTTCTTTTTCTTTTCTTTCTTCAGTATTTCACATTAATTTCTTTTTTATCTTCCTTTTTCTTTTCTCTCTTCTTCTTTATCTGATCTTTTTCTTTCTTTATCCAATTTTCTTTTTCTGTCCCTTCCCTTCTTTATAAAACTTTCTCAATTTCTTCTTCTTGATTAACTAGCAAATTTTATATTTCTTCTTCCCTCAAGAATAACAAATTCTTTCTTTCAAAAAAAAGAAGAAAATATTTTCGTCAAGTGAAAATTATCTTCGTGAAAAAAAGTAATTTTCACGAAAAAGAAAAGAAAATTTCTTTAAATAAGAAAAATCTTTTTTTAAAATGGAAGAAAACGACGAACTAAGGAAGAGAGAGAGAGAGTGAGACAGAATTGTTCCTGACCAGCACAATATTTGATAGAGACGACACCACACTGACTTTAAGGGACACTGACTGCTGCTGCTACTGCTATTGAGTAGTGTGGAGAAGAGAGACAAAAAGAGGCGCAAGAGAGGGAAGGGAGAATGAGGGAGAGAGAGAGAGAAAGAGAGTGAGTCGATGCCACCGGAGTGCGACACTCTCCAAGGCGTGTTTCTGATGGCGTAATAGTCTAATAGTCCACTGGCAGGTGGGGCACGACAAGTAGAAGCTGCTGAGCACGAAATCAAGAGAAAAGGGTGGGGGAAGAGAGGAGAGGGTGGGCGTCGCGGCGCACGACGTCCGTATACCGATCGATGTCAATACTCTCTTCTGTGTTCAAAAATTTCTCACACGATATCATCCAAAAAGAAAAAAAACCACGACGCACCAATATCACCAAAAATTTACAAATATATCCAAAAAGAGGGTCACTGATTCGAAACACGTGCAAATGGCACTTCTTCTTCTTCTTCTTTTCCTTTCTGTTCTTCTTTTTCCTCTATTTCTACTTCTTCTTCCCCTTATTCCTTTTCTACTTCTTCTTTTCTTTATTCCTCTGTTCTTTTTTACTTTTTCTTTTTGTACTTCTTCCTTTTTTTTCTCTTCTACCTTTTTCTACTTCTTCCTCTTTTTCCTTTTCTACCTTCTTCTTTTTCTACTTCTTCTTTTCTTCTTCCTCTTCTTCCTCTTTTTCCTTTTCTACCTTTTTTCACTTCTTTTTCTACCTTTTTCTTTTTCTACTTTTCCTTTTCTACTTCTTCCTCTTTTTCTTTTCTACTTCCTCTTTTTCCTTCTTTCTATTTTCTTTTTTACTTCTTCCTCTTTTTCCCTTCCAAATTTTTTTCTACTTTTTCCTTCTTCCTGTCCCTTTTCTACTTCCTTCTTTTTTCTACTTTTTCATCTTCTTCCGAAAAGAAAAGTAGAAAATACTTTTCTTTTTCTACTTCTTCCTTTTTTTCTACTTCTTCATCTTTTTCCTTTTCTACTTTTTCTTTTTCTACTCTTTCTTCTTTTTTCTTCTTATTTGCCCTCTTCTTTTTTTTCTTCTCCTTTTTCTTTTTCTACTTCTTTTTCTATCCCTTATTCTTCTTCTTTTTCTACTTTTTTGTTCTTCTTATTTGCCCTCTTCTTTATTTTTCTTCTTCTTTTTCCTTCCCTTCTTCTCTTTTTTCCTTCTTCTTCTTTTTTATCTTCTTTCTCTTTTTTCTTCCCTCTCGCTTTCTATTTTTCTCCCCCTTGAAATAATCTCATTAAAATCCAAACTCTCTCTCTCTCTCTCTCTATTATCTTCACGTGTGTATTATCTCCTGTTTTTGTCTTCAACGTGTATATTTATACAAAGTTTTACCAGAGGCTAAATATTTTCATAAAACACTTGTTCCCTAGGGGTCTTTACTCCCCTACAAAAATTAGTCAAGAAAAAAAGAAAAATTGATCTAATTTCCGGTGGGTCCAATTTTTCTTCCTCCAAAATTGATCATTGACATACTGTCGAAAATTTCTATTTGTTAAATAATCCAAATGAAGAAATAAAGATAATCACTAGATATTAATTTTGATTATCTTGCTTTGTCAGAGAATTTTATTTTATTTTGATTTTGTCTATTTTCATTAATTAATTATTTGTTATTTTATTTTTTCTATTTATTTATATTTACAATTATTTATTTATCTATTTATTTTTTAATAATTTTCTAATAATTTTTGTATTAATTTTCTATTAATTTTATTTATTTTGTATTTATTTTGTATTAATTTTATTTATTTTGTATTAATTTTGTATTTATTTTTTATTTCTTTATTTATTTGTTTTCCTTTATTTATTTAATTAATTTATGTATTTTCCTTCTTTCTTTCTTTCCTTAGATATTTATTAAATTTTTGATTTATTTGTTTGATTCGATAGAATAATTTTTGATTATTCAATTATTGGGAGGAAAGAAAAAGAATAAATTTTTGTCGTAATTAAATTAAATTTTCGATTGACTAGGAGAGCCTGATAATCAGGACCGAGTGAAAATTATTTCTTCCATTCTTGTAGTTTACTACTCCTGATTATTAATTTATTCTTCACCTCCTGATTATTATCAACTTCTTATAAATAATTTTTAGCCTCCTAATTATTAGTTTACCTCCTGATTATTACTTTTGCCTCCTGATTATTAATTTTTTACCTCCTAATTATTTTCAATTTCTAATAAATAATTTTTGCGTCTTTGACAATTTTTCACCTCCTGATTTTAAAATCTCCGCCTCCTGATTACTATCAACTTCCAATAAATAATTTGTTGCCTCTTTCAAAATTCTTTGCCTCCTTAAAAATTTTCCTTGTTTGGAAATAAAATTCTTCACCTTCAAATTAATAATTTTCTTCTCTTCAAAATTAGTTTTATTTTTTAATTTAATAATACTCCTGATTAATAATAAAAACTCCTGATTAATAATAATACTCCTGATTATCATTAACACTCCTGATTAATAATAACACTCCTAATTATTAATATCTCTCCTGATTAATAATAATACACCTCCTGATTATTAATTACTCTTCTGATTAATAATAACTCTCCTGATTGATGAAGTCACCTCCTGATTAAATAATTTTTCTCTTGTCAACAATAATACTCTTCACCTCCTGATAATAATTTTTTTTTTCTTCGATTATTATTTTTCTCACCTCCTATTAAATTTTTTCCTTTTCGAAAATAATTTCTCCACTTCCTGATTAATAATTCTTTCTTCCTTTAATTAGTAATTCTTCATCTCCTGATAATTATCTCCTCACCTGATCGTATTCGAAATTTTCGCGCCCGAGTGAATTTTTTTTCGTTTCTTTTTTTGCCAAAATTTGACAGAAATTTAAAATTTCCAAAATATTTGCAATATATCGAACAATAATTTTTTGAGATTCTTTTTTTGATTTTATTGTATGAGAGCGAGTAAAATGTGATTTGAATAATTAATTTATTGAAATATATTAATAAATTGTTTGTTTATAATTTGTTGCTTTCGGGGAATTAATTGTGTTTTGTAAAATGCGTGTAAGTGAACTTGCCATCGGAATGGCATTGGGTACACTACTGTCTCGAGGATGATCAAGTACCGTTCACGTACGCGACGATCGCGCAACTGCGAATCTTGTAAAACTCGCGCACAGTGATAAACGTTTGATAGTTCACCGCGCTCGAAACAAGATCGCGCTACAGTTTTGCACCCACGCTCTTCGACTTTTCATTATATATATACATATACAATATATGTTTGCACAAGAAACGTGTTGCTAAGCAGTTAATTAAACAATTATTTCCCAAAAATTCTAAAGAAAAGAAGAATAAATTTTTTCATTTTAATATTAATAGTAAATAAATACTAACGATAATTATAATATTCAAAGATATTAACAATTAATATCAAAATTGAGGTATTCATATTAATATAATAAATTAGGGATGGCACAAAAATTAAATTTTGTTCTCCCTGACTTTTCCCTGATTTCCAGGCAAAATTTTCACTTTTTTCCTGATCCTGAAGAATATTCTGATTACAGGACAAAAAATCCAATCCAAAAAATTCAGACCGAAAAATCCAAGAAAAAAAAGTCCAAAGTACAAAAAATTCAAAATAAAAATGTCCGCAAAGTCAAAAAATCCAAAATAAATAAAAATGTCCAAAATAAATAATGAAACATGTGAAAAAGCCACGTTTTTACTTTTTACGCTATATAAAATCGAAATTTAAAATGTTAATGTTAAAATCGTAGGATTTTAATTATTTACATAAATAATAAAATTCTTTACAAAAATTCAATTTTTTTTTCGATATTCAACAATTTTTAACTAAATTCTTCTTCAAATAAATAATTTTTACTAATTCTCGACAAAGTTCTTTGAGAATTTCCAAATCCATTTGTTTACAATTTATTCAATTTTAAAAAATTGAAAATTTGAAAAACATTTTTGAAAGTAATTGGAATTTTGACAAGAATTTTATAAAAATTTTTGAAAATAATTAAATTTTGCAAACAATTTTATTTAAATTCCTGAAAATAATTGAATTTTTGAGAAGAAATTTGATATTTATCATAAGATAATTGAATTCTTTCGAAGAATTGCGTTAAAATTTTTAAAATAATATTAAATCTGTATTAAAAATTAAACTAATTTTAACAGAATTGGAATTAAAATTTTAAAAAAATTATATCTACAGAATTATAAATTAAAATTTTTAAAAATTCAGATTTATAAAGATTTTAATTTGAAACCTTTTCAAACTTCAATTATTTCTAAAAATTAATGTAATGCTTTTAATATTCAATTATTATCTAAAATTTTAACTGAAATTCATTTTTAAATAAATTTTAATTAGAAAATTCTATAAAAATTCAATTATTTAAATACTAAAAAATTTTTAATAATAATTATATTTTTTTCGAGAAATTTGATTAAAATTGAACTAAAAATTATTGAAATTCTGCAATGAGTTTTATTATTTATGAAAATAATTGAATTATTGAAAAGAAATTCATAGAAAATTTGTAAAAAAATTTAATTATTGAGAATAAATTTATAAAAAATTTGTAAAAAATTTAATTATTGAGAAAAAATTTAATAAAAATTTGTGAATAATTCAATTATTGAGAGTAAATTTATAACAAATTTGTAAATAAATGAATTCCTGTAAAATTTTTATTATTTTTTGAAAATAATTAAATGTTTGCGAAAAATATTATTAAACTTTTGTTAAATAAATGAATGTCCAAGAAGAATTGTATTATTTTTGCAAATAATTGAATTCATTCAACGAATTTTAATAACATTTTTAAAAATTAATACATTTTTCGAGGAATTAAATTAAAATTGTATTAAAAATAATTGAAATCATGTCATGAGGTTTAAAATTTATAAATATAATTGAATCTATGCCAAGAGTTTTATTAAAATTTTCAAAAATAATTAGATTCCTTAAAAAAATTCGCAGAAATTCAATTATTTTCAAAAATTTTAATAATTCTGCGATGAGTTTTATTATTAATGAAAATAATTATTGAATTCATAAAAAGAATTTTATTATTTATAAAAATAATTGAATCCCTATATAAAATAATATTTATAAAAATAATTTAATTATTGTGAAGAATTAAAAAAAATTTTATTTAATAATTTATTATTTCCTAAAAATTTTTGTCAATTATTTTTTAAATAAATTCTGGGAAAATTTTTATTATTTATGAAAATAATTGAATGTTTGCGTAAAATTTTAACAGAATTTTTTTCAAATAATTGTATTTCTTTTGGGAAATTTTATTAAATTAGTAGATATTAAAAAACATTGTATTGAGAAATATTTTTGTTAATAATTATTGATAAGAATTTTATTAAAATTTCGGAAAATTTTTGAATTTCAGAGAAGAATAAATTCTGTTATATAATAATTAATAATTTGTATTTAATAAGTTGGTTAGTTAACTCTTTATAATTATTTCACCTACTTGGTTTTATTTTGCGATGAAAAATGTGCACCACGTTGTCCTTAAATATTTCAGCTACAGATTTCTTCTCTTTCTTCACCATCACCATCATCATTTTTTTCCTCTTCCTCACACTTTTCTTCTACTGATACTTGATCGAATTTTCAAAACAGTCTTCTTCTTATTCGTGAAAAATAAAAAAATATATTATTTTCAAAATTTAGATTTTCTAATTAAAATTAAATTATTAAATTTAGGTCAACACTCGAAAATAATCTTAATATTAATGTTAATACACAAAGATTTTTAGGTCAAAATTTACAGATAAAGAGTTAAGCTAAATCTTAAAATCAAGATCAATATTTACAGTGTTCCGTAAATTTTTGAATAAAATCATAAACGGAAGGAAAAAATTACTTTCAATAAAAAAAAAAGTAGAAAAGAAGGGGAAAATACCGGGAAATTTTTCAAAAAACGAAAATAAATATCTTTGTGGATAGAAAAAGTTTTATAAAATTTAACACTAAAGTATTACCGAGAAAAGTTGAGAGAAACACTTAAAGTATATATTCTTTAAAGAGTTTTCCTTCCTGTTTTTTTCTATTCATTATTATAAATAAAAACGAAAACCTATAAATGTTTATTTCATTTTGCTTTTAAGAAAAAAAAGTAGAAAACACAATTAAAATTTAAATTTACCTTTCTTCTAATACTATAAAAAATTTTTGTTTGTTCTTTAAATATAAACGTAAAAATCAATTTTCCTTCTTAAAGATACTTTATTGTAGAAATATTTTCATATCAAGAATTGTACTCAACAAAATATATGTATTCTTCTTTCAATAGTAATCATTATTATTATTATATAACAATAAACAACAATAGAAATTATTCTTCAAAAAAACCCCAGCATAAAATGACGTTAGCAATTGCTATTTATACTTTTTGCAATAATTCGTCTTCTTTAAGAAAAGAAAATATGAAAAGAATTTGTACTTCAACTTTGCGTATTATTGTATTATTTAAATATGAAAATAAAAAATTTCCTTCAGCTACATATTTATTATGTATTTAATAAAATTCTTCTCCGTATATCAATTTGATAGAAAACATTTTACGATTAAAAAGTCTTTTCTCTTTTAATTTTATATTAAAAAAAAAAAACTCAAAAAAGATACGAAAATTGAAGTAATTTTTCATTTTGAATGTCTATGAAATTTCTTTCTTAATAAATTTCACTTCACGTTGTTTTAGCAGCTATCTATCAATATATTGTTGTCTGTTTCGATTTTATATTAAAGAATAAAAATTATTAAGAAACACTGAAAAGAAAATTGATTCGAATAACCGATTAATTGTCTATTGTCAAATAAATATTTACTTGAGTCAAGTAATTTTTTATTTCAATCAAATAAATTGTAGAATCTATTTTGAATTATTAATTTCAGTATTTAAAGCAAATTTTCTTTTAATTGACTCAAGTAAAAATTATTTGATACAAATAATTTATTTGATATTCAGCAACAAATAGAAATTATTTGACACAAATAATTTATTTGATATTCAGCAACAAATAAAAATTATTTGACACAAATAATAATATTAATTTGACAATAACAAATATTTGCTAATAAACAAAACAAGTAATCGTTTATTTGAATCAAATAAATTTCTTTTTTCAGTGAATGAATCTCATAATTGTAATAAAAAAAAATATATGTCTTTTATATTGCGTATACGTACAAAAAAAAGAAAGGAGGAAAATATTTCATCCAAAATGGAGAATATTTGTCGTCATCAGGACCACTTCTTCTTTTTTCTTTTTAATCTACGCAATTCTCTCGTTCTGAGGTAAAATAATCGCTTTTCTGTCGCCGCTCATCCACTTCTCGATTTCCTCCACTCTGCGCAAATTCAAAAGAGTAAATATTAGAAATACACATTTCCTTCAAGTTTTTAAATAAAACAATTACAATAATTGAAAAAAAAATTTAATTTTAAAAATAACAATGTTCTTTGATAAAATTTGAAATTGAAAAGAAAAATTCTAAAGGGGTAGGAATTGTGAAATAAATTTGATAAAATTCTTACGTGCGAGGTACGTGAGTCAAATTCTCGACTCCAGTTTCCGTTATAAGAACGTCATCTTCAATTCGAACACCTCCAAATCCTCGGAATCGGTTTATTTTCTCAGCGACGAGAAATTTACTCTGTTCACTATCAGCCAAAGCTGCGTCCAATTGCTGTAAAAGAATTTACATTATTTTATTTTTTATATTATCTTTTAAGCAAAAAAAGTACACAACAGAAAAGAGAACAAAACAGAAACAAAAAGTGACAGAAAAGAAAGAAGAAAACTTAAGAAGAAGGAAAAAAAAGTGATAGAAAAGAAAGAAGAAAACTAAAAAGAAAAGAAATAAAAAGAAGAGACAAAGACAAAGAAATAAGTAAAGATGGGAAAAAAGAAAAGAAGAAATTTGTAAAAAGAATTAAATTTTAAGAAAGAAGAAAAATATTAAAAGTAAAAGAAAAGGAAAATAAAATTAACAAAAGAAAGATAAAAACAAAGATTAAAGAAGAGAACCACAAAAAAAAGATAGAGACCAAGAAACTTGCAAAAAAAATATAAAAAAAGAAGGGAAACGAAATAAACAAAAGAAAGTAAAAATAATAAAAAATGTAAAAAAAAAAATAAACGACAATGAAAAATAGAAGCAAAAAGAAAAATACTAAAGGAAAAAGAAAATAATAAAAGAAGAAAACAAAATGAAATAAGAAAAAAATTAAAGAAACAAAAAGGAAAAGAAAAATGAAGCAACAAAACAATAAAGAAAAGCCAAAAAAGAGAAGTACTAAATGAAAAAAGAACCAACAAACATTTTTTCCTCTCTTTTATGGGATTTAGCTTCATTATTTTTGGGCTCTTGAAAAATACTTTACTTATTTAATAGTCAAAAAAGACCCTTTACCCTTTGGTAACAAATTTAAAATTATCAAAAATTATCAAAAATTCAAAAAACCGAATTTCTTAAAATTCAACATTTTTTCTTCTCTTTTATGGAATTTAGCTTCATTATTTTTGTGCTCTTAGAAAATACTTTACTTTTTTAATAGTCTCGACTCTTTGGTAAAAAATCTAAAATTATCGAAAATTATCAAAAATTCAAAAAACCGAATTTCTTAAAATTCAACATTTTTTCTTCTCTTTTATGGAATTTAGCTTCATTATTTTTGTGCTCTTAGAAAATACTTTACTTTTTTAATAGTCTCGACTCTTTGGTAAAAAATCTAAAATTATCGAAAATTATCAAAAATTCAAAAAAACGAATTTCTTAAAATTCAACATTTTTCTTTCTTTTTATGGCATTTAGCTTCATTATTTTTGTGCTCTTTAAAAATACTTTACTTATTTAAAAATCTCCACCCTTTGGTAAAAAATCTAACATTATCTAAAATTATCAAAAATTCAAAAATCCGAATTTCTTAAAATTCAACATTTTTTCCTGTCTTTTATGGCATTTAGCTTCATTATTTTTTGGCTCTTGGAAAATACTTTACTTATTTAAAAGTCTTGACTCTTTGGTAAGAAATCTAAAATTTCCTTAGAATTTTTTAAAATAATTGAATCTTATAGAGAAATTTTTTAAAAATTATATAAAAAATCATTAAATTCCTACGAAAAAGTTTTGTAGAAATTTTTAAAAATATTACAACTTCTGACAAAATTTTGATATTTATGAAAATAATTGAATTCTTGCGAAGAATTTTATTAAGATTTTTGAAAATAATTGAAGACTTGTAAAGAATTTTTTTTATTTTCAATTTATTTCAAGTATCTTAGGTATTAAAATTTTTGAAAATAATTGAATTTGTGCAAATTTTTCAAAGGAATCTAATTATTTTTGAAAATTTTAATAAAATTCTTGGCATAAATTCAATTATATTCATAAATTTTAAAACTTATAGCATGATTTCAATTATTTTTAATACAATATTATAATTGAATTCCTGGAAAAATTAATTAATTTTTAAAAATGTTATTAAAATTCGTTGACAGAATTTAATTATTATAATAAATAATACAATTCCTCTTGGAAATTCAATTGTTTAACAAAATTTTAATAACATTTTTCGCAAACATTTAATTATTTTCATGAATAATGAAAATTTGACAGGAATTTTTAATACAATTTTAATTAAATTTCTCGAAAAATAAAATTTTTTTTAAAATTTTTACTAAAATTCGTAAAAAGAATTAAAATTTTAAAAAATACCTATTGAATTATTCAATAAATTGTCTGTTTTGTATTTAAATAATTTAATTCTCGTAAAATTTTCTAATAAAAATGGATTTAAAAATGAATTTCAGTTAAAATTTTAGATAATAATTGTATATTATAAGCATTACATTAATTTTTAGAAATAATTGAATTTGGAAAAGGTTTCAAAATTAAAATCTCTGTAAATATGAATTTTTCAAAATTTTAATTAATTATTCTGTAGATATAATTTTCTTTTTAATTTTAATTTCAATTCTGTTGAAATTAGTTTAATTTTTTAATACAGATTTAATATGATTTTAAAAATTTTAACGCAATTCTTCGAAAGAATTTAATTACCTTGATAAATATCAAATTTCTTCCCAAAAATTCAATTATTTTCAGGAAATTAAATAAAATTGTTTGCAAAATTCAATTATTTTCATTAAAATATAACAATATTCATCAAGAGAATTTAATTTTTCAATTATGTTTTGAAAATTCTGGTTAAAATTTCAATTATCTTTATAAATGGCACATTTCTTCGGCTAGATTGAATGACATTTTCAAAATTTTTTATAAAATTCTTGTCAAAATTTCAATTATTTTCAAAAGTGTTTTTCAATTTTCAATTTCGTAAAATTGAATTGTAAACAAATGTATTTGAAAATTCTCAAAGAACTTTGTCAATAATTATTAAAAATTATTGATTTGAAGAAGAATTCTAGTTAACAATTCTAAAAATTAATAACTGAATTAAAATAATAAAAACATATTTGAAGAAGTTACAGTAAAAATATTTTTATAATATAAAATAATAATTTTATCAATTTTTTTTATTATATTTTTTTATGTTACAGAACATAAAAATATCGATCACTCCGAGTCGAAGACAAAAAAATTCAAAAAAGTTCGAATTTGAATGTTTTGAAAAATTTGAATTCCAACAAAAAAATAATAATGATTAATTATTTATTTAAAAAATAAGTTATTAATATTTTCGAATAATTTGACCATTAGAGAAATTCGTAAATAAATACGATAGAAAATTTTTTTGCCTATCTAATCATTTTTAGAGTGAATCAGAATATTCTTTAGGGTCAGTGAAAAAAAAACAAAATTGTTTATGGAAATCAGGGAAAAACAAAATTTTTAATATTTAATTTTTAATTTAATTTTAAATATTAAAATGTTTCCTTTCTTTTCTTTTTTCTTCATCATTCCAGGATTGCCACGGAATTTTAATTTTGAATTTTAATTAATTAAAATTATAATTGTAATTACCTAATTAAATAATAATTAATTAATTTTCTGTGGCAACCCTGGGATGATGAAGAAAAAAGAAAAATAAAGGAAAAATGGAACAAAAGAAAAAACGAGGAATAATAAAAAAAGAGAAAAAAGAATGAAAAAGAAAAAAAATACTCACAGTATCAATAAAGTAGCAGCCAGGTTCAACAGTAATGACCATTCCCGCCATTAATTGACGAGCAGTTCTCAATTTTCTCAAACCCGGCTTTGTTGAACGTTGAGGGTGTCCCGGTAAATATCCACCAACATCGTGAACATCAAGTCCCAATAAATGCCCAAGACCATGGGGTTGGAAAATTTCATTTAATCCCACGGCAATCATTTCATCAACGTCGCCAATCAAGAGTCCACCATTTTTCAACGCCATCAACATTTCACGATTGGCTAGCAAGTGCATGTCAGTCCAAAAAACGCCTGGTTTCGCTGCACTCAATACTGCGTCACGTGCACGCAACACTGCCTCGTATATCAATTTTTGATCTTGACTGAAAATTCCATTCGACGGGAAACTACAGGTTATATCAGCCGTATAGCCACAGTAAATTGCTCCCATATCAAAAAGACTGAAAAAAGAGAAATTTTTTAAATAAATTTTTTTCTTTTTCAAAATTTTTCTAATTTATATTTATTTATTTTTTTATTCGAACCAAAAAAATTTGAATATTTTTATTCATATTTTGTTTTTTTTTGGAATATATTTATTTTTACTTCTATTTTTTTTATTTCTATTTATTTTTCAAACATAATTATTTTTAATACTCTTTGTTCTTCAAATATATTTTTTATCTACTTTACCGACAGAACATAGATTGGAAACCTTGCTTTTTTAACCTACTTTTTTTATTTATACTTTGTTTTTTACATTCTCATTTTTTTTTTAAATATATTTATTATTTCTCCTATTTATTTTTCTATTTATTTCTCAAACCTATTTATTTTTAATACTCTTTATTCTTTAATATTAAAAATTAAAAAAAAATTTGTTTCCTCTTTTATACAAATACAATTTTTTTTCTATTATTTATTTACATCTAGATTAATCTTATTTTGAAAATATATTCGCAGCTTTTGTAAAAAAGTATTTTTGTAAAACAAAATTTTAATTTCGCGCGCTTCAAATTAATTGCCATAAAGAAAAAAAAATTAAGTTTCCAATCTATGTTCTGTCGGTAAAGTAAATGGTGTTTCAAGTTAAATCACATATGATAACAAAGATAAAGGTAAAAATCTCCAAAAACAAATGAAAACTATAAAATATTGTTAAAAACAAATAAAAACTAGAAAAATATTGTTAAAAATAAATGAAAACTACAAAAATATTCATATTGTTAAAAATAAATTTAAAAAAAATACTCACCACATTTCTTCATTGTGAATAATCTTATTATTCGGAGCACCAGCGTGCCCATAATGCAGCACAGAACTATTGTGACCAGATCCACAAATGCAAACATAACCCATGTGTCTGCATCCACCAACCGAATATGCATGATTTATAAAAGCAGCTTCCGCCTGATATTCCATTAAATCGGGTCGAACAACTTTCATCACTTTTTTGTGCGCATCGGAACTTATTTTTGTCACATATCTCAAAACTTCAATTTCCTGTGACGATTTAATTACTCGACTGAAACAATTTTTTTTAAATTTCATTCATTAGTTTTATTTTTTTTTTTAAAGAAAAATTTTTTTTATTTTCTTCACATTTGATCAAATGTGGAAATTTATTTTGTTAATTTTCATAGTATTTTCATAAAATTTCGCAAAAGAATTCAATTATTTAAAAAAAATTAATAAAATAATTCATCCAAATTTCAATTATTTTCATAAATAATCAAATTTCCACAGGCATTCAATTAATTTAGAATAGCATTTTCAAAAAATTTTCGAAAAAATCAATTATTTAACGAAATTTTTATATAATTCTGCCCAATAATTCAATTACTTTCACTAATAATAATATTTTTCATGGAAATTAAATTTTTTAAAAAAATTTTTGATAGAATTCTAAGCAAAAATTCAATTATTTTCATAAGTAATAAAACTCATTGAAGAATTTCAATTATTTTTAATACTATTTTAATTAAATTAATCAAAAAATTCAATTATTTTCACAAATAAAGTTTTCCACAAAGAATTCAATTATTTAAAATAAATTTTTCATAATATTTATTATATTTCAAAAAAATTAATTATTTAAAATAATATTTATCAAATTGTTATTCTTATTGTTATTCAATTCTTTTTGAACATTTTAATAAAATTTTTCGCAATAATTCAATTATTTTCATAAATAATAGAATTCTTCTCAGGAATTCAATTATTTTTGAAAATTTTAATAAAATTCTTTGCAACTATTCAATTATTTTCATAAATAATAAAATTCATTCCAGGATTTCAATTATTTTTAATACAATTTAATAGGAATTGCTCAAAAAATGTAATTATTCTTAAAAATTTTATTTCAATTCCTCAAAAAAAACCAATTATTTACAAAAATGGTAGAATTTTTTCACTAAAATTCAATTATTTTGAAATATTTTTAAAAAATTATTCGAACGAATAATTCAATTATTCTTTTAGATTTTAATAAAATTCTTTCCAAGAATTCAATTATTTACATAAATAATTCCTCGAAAGAATTCAATTCTGTCGATAAATAAAAAAAATAATTCTCGAAAATTCAATTCTTTTCAAAATTCAATTATTTTCATAATTAACAATATTCATCACAAGAATTTAATTATTCTCATAATTAACAATATTCATAACAAGAATTCAATTATTTTCAAAAATAACAAAATTTTCCACAGAAATTCAATTCTTTTTAAATATTTTAATAAAATTCTTCTCAGGAATTCAATTATTTTTGAAAATTTTCATGAAATTCTCTGCAACTTTTCAATTATTTTTATAAATAATATTATTCATCGCAGGATTTCAATTATTTTTTATTCAATTTTACTGGAATTGCTCAAAAAATGTAATTATTCTTAAAAATTTAATTTCAATTCCTCGAAAAAATCAATTATTTAAAAAACTGTTTTTTTTTAAATTCTTTCGAAGAATTCAATTATTTACAAAAATATTATAATTTTTTCACTGGAATTCAATTATTTTCAAATATTTTGATAAAATTGTTGGAAAGAAATAAATTATTTTCAATACAATTTTAATTAAATTTTTTTGAAATAATTTAATTATTCTTTCAGATTTTAATAAAATTCTTCTCCAGAATTCAATTATGTTGATAAATAACAAAATTATTCTCGAAAATTCAATTATTTTGAAGCATTCTTTGAAAGAATTCAATTATGTCGATAAATAACAAAATTATTCTCGAAAATTCATTTATTTTGAGGCATTTTAATAACATTCTTTGCAAAATTCAATTATTTTTTATATATAACAATATTTATCACAAGAATTCAATTATTTTTAAAAGTAATAAATTTTTTTCCTGGAAATTAAATTATTTTAAAAAATTCCAATAAAATCGTTAATAAAAATTCAATTCTTTTCATGAATAATAAAAATTTCTCAGGAATTGAATTATTTAAATTAGAATTTGCATAAAATTAGTCAAAAGTCAGGATTTTGAAAAAAGTGGGGGTAAAAATACCGAAAAAAATTTGTTTCGTTAATTTTTGACATCGAAGTGGTTTTCAATGCATTTTTGACCGCTGAACACGATCTCAGGTCCCAAAATTGTCTAGCACGTCAGGATTTTAAAAAAAGTGGGGGTAAAAATACCGAAAAAAATTTGTTTCGTTAATTTTTGACATCGAAGTGGTTTTCAATGCATTTTTGACCGCTGAACACGATCTCAGGTCCCAAAATTGTCTAGCACGTCAGGATTTTGAAAAAAGTGGGGGTAAGAACCCCGAAAAAAATTTATTTTCTTATTTTTTATATTGGAGTGGTTTCCGATGTATTTTTGTCCACTGAACTCGATCCCAGATCTTAAAATTGTCTATAACATGTCAGTATTTTGAAAAAAGGGGGGATAAAAATCCCGAAAAAAATGTATTTCGTTATTTCTTTCCTCCCCATGAAAGAAAGTTATAACTCAAAAAAGACAAATTCGTTAATTTTCATTTCAGAAATTTATTTACAAATCATAAAAATATTATCTATATACAATAAAAGACAAGAGAAAACAAAATGAAATCACTTGGCACTATTAATTTGCTTCGATAAATAATTTTTCAATTCAACAGAATTCATACGAGACAAGAATTCATAATTCAAACTCGCAACTTGAAATCCCATTTTCCTCAATACTCGAATTCTCAACAATTGCTCTCCAATTAATTCTTTCCCATCAAAACAATAATGTTCCGGTAAATGAATTAAAATTATCTTACAACTCTTTATTCTATTCACCGCACTAATTTCAATAATCGGTAAATTTATTTTCTCCGGAAATATTAGAATATCAACATGAAAAATATCAATTAATGGCAAATCGGCAAATATCAATTCATAACCACATCGATTATTATTGCCAATAAAATTTATTAATAGAGGTGAAATTTTTTTCACCACTTGTCTTAGTCGTAAATCATGAAACGATGGTGTTGTAAATTTTTCATAATTACTGGGGAAAAAAAATTTGCCTTTATTAAAATTTTTTCTCGATTCAATTGTAATTATCGAATTTATTGTCTGTATTTTTTTCATCAATAAATTGTGTGATTCACTTTTTTTCTTAATTTTTAAAATTCGCTTTAATTTGCCTTGAAATTTTTTTTCATTTAAAAAATTATCAAATTTCTTTCCAGCATAGATGTAGGACAATATAATATCGCAACAACTGTTTAGATCTAATTTTGTGAATTTTCCTTGTAATATTTTTCTCATTTCATCGAAAATAAAATCATTCTTTTCAATTTTATTTGGAAAATAGCCGAAAACAGTGAAAATTGGTGCGATGAATTTTATCGGAAGATTCATTCCCTGAAAAATATTTACATTTAATTATAATTAAATTATAAATTAAAAATTTTATATTTTATCTTTATTTATTTTTATAAATTTTATATTTTATTATAAGATTATTTTTAAACTAAAAATATTAATTAACAAAATAATTAAATAGTTATAATTTTTAATCTCACTTGCGAGCGAAGATATTCGGCACCAAATTCCAAAATTTTCAAACTTGAAAATCGACATTTTTTACAGTATTTCATTAAAGCGGAAATAAATTCGGGATCTTCAATTTTTGATTCATTAATTTCGAGATATTTTTCCAAACCGTGAATTATCGTCTCATCAACGTAATTTATATTTGTTAAATTTTCGATAATATTTTTCAATTCTTTCTCCTCGGTTTGCATCGAATAATTTTGAATCCATTGGCTCGTGAGATTTTTCACAATATTAAATGATTTTTCATTATTTTTGAAATTATTTAAATGAAAAATATTCAAAATATCGGCAATTTGTTGTGCTGGCAATTCTGGATAAATTATTTTCAATCTTGATGTGAGAATTGTTAAAAAAAGATTTCTACTTTCATGAAAATAGTGTTGAATTTTAAACAGTGAGACAATATTTTCTTTATTTATTTCATTCTCTCTAATCTGTTAATATTTAAATACATTAGAAAAATTAATCATTTTTAACAAGAAACGAAAAAAAATTTTTTTCTAAATAAATTTAAAAGCAAAAGAAAAATTCAAAATTTAAAAAAATATATAAATTTTTATAGTAAATAAAATATTGTTTTTGTTTTTTTATTTATTTATTTAGTAAATATATATTTAGTCAATGTAGTTATCTACTTATTTATTTTTTATTTATTTAATAATTAAACAGATTACTATATTAATTAATTAAATAAATAACTAAACTTAATTAATAAACAACTGACTTCACAATTAACTAAATAAATAATAGAAAAATGAAATAGAGTAATAAATACAAAAAATGAATTTATAACAATTACTTTGACGCCAATCCAGAGCAAATCAATTGTTTCCTTATAAAATGGATCACGACAAAGATTTAAAATTCCAACAATGTCGATTAATTGCGTAATACTAAAATCACCGTCAATTAAACGAATCAACGTCTCATTACGAAGACGATCGCGATAAATATTTCTCAATGGGCTCACACGATCGTTAATTAAAATGCCCATTCCAACAATAATTGATTCACTGTCACGACTTTTTGTTATAATGTCGACTAATTTTTTTAATACCGTTTCACGATTTTTCGCTTGCACTACTGATTTCTCATTAAATGCAAAATCCTGATGAAATTTGAAATTTTCCATTTCAATTATTCTCGACAGTGTCTGCATTGGTAATTTGCTTTTTAATTGTTATTATTATTATTAAAAAATAATTAACGAAATTAATTTAAAGTAATTATTATTAATTTCCTATAATTATTAACATCATTAATTAATTTCTCTTTATTAAAAAAATTAATAATCTTTTTTTGCTCGTATATTTTGAAATAAATAAATCAAATTATTATTTATTAAATATATATTTTAGTTTTATATAATTGAAAAAAAATTATATTATTTGGATTAAATAATATTAAAAATATTTTGTATTTATATAAATACCTGAAGAGCGACTCTAGAATTAATTTCATTCGTTATTGCATTTTCAATATAAGAATAATTACTGCAACTATTTGAATTTGGATCTAAATTTTTGAGAATTTGTTCAATTTCGGTATTTTTCAAAAATTCCAAATCTGAAGTATATAAAATTGCCGTTCCCTCCTCGGTACTAATATCAATTCGATTTTCATTCTTATCAATATTTTCCATATTCAATGACAATGGTAAACCTTTTGCTATTATTATTGTTTGTTCGGCATTATTTTCAGTCAATTTTTTCGTATCCTTTTAAAATGAGAAAATTTATCAATTTTTCTTTTACTCTTCTTTTTATTTTAAATAATGAAAATTGAATTTAAAAAGAATCGGAAACAATTCCAAATTCCAAATTAAAAATTTGTTTGGAAAAAAAATAATACAAACAATTTTTATTTGAAGAAAAAAATTATATTTCGAGAATAATTTTTCTAGAAATTTTTGAAAAATGATTTTAAAACAAAGAAAAATAAATAAAAAGATAGATAGAAAAAAGAATAAATAAATCAAATAAATAAACAAATAGAATAAATAAATAAAAAAATAAATAAAAAAATAAGTAGAAAAAATGAATAAATAAATAGAAAAAAGAAATAAATGGAAAAAAAATAAATAAAATGTTGTTCAGAAAGAATAAATGTTTTTTCTCTTGTGCACTTTATTTGTTGTTGAATTTTTTTAAACAAAAAATTTCTTTTTATTTTTCTACCTCGATTTTATCTCCCGTTTCCTGAATTATTTTCTGATCCAAAAAATTGCCAATTTCATTGATTTTTCGCACAATAATTGGCACTTCCTGAAAATCATTTCCCTCCTCAATCAACGTGTAACTTCGATACAATAATAATGGCTCCGAACAGAAACACTTTTTCTCCGTTTTAAATAATTTCTCATTAAATTTCAAATTAATTTGTTGACTCGCTTGTAAATTTAAACGTGAAAATGTTCGACTTAAAATACTGGATAACATTGCTTTCTCAAAAAAAAAGAGTCAAAGAAAAAAGAAGAAATGAAAACAGCAAAAAAAAAAAAAACAGAAAAAGGAAATAGCAATAAAAACAGTAAAAAAAAAGAAAAAAAGATTTCTCTAATAAAAAAAATTATATCCAAAATTTTTTAATTGATTTTCGTAAATTTAATTAAATAAATTAAATAAATTAAATTACACATGTATCAAAAAGAACGAGAGAAAAAAAACAAACTGTCACTAATTATTTAACCTCTTTACAAATTTATCATAAAAAAACTTTTATTCCTTTTTTTATTTTTCTATTCAAAAAGAATTTTTTAATTTTTTAATTTACAATAATTATATTAAACCAATTAATTAATAATTTAAAATTATTTATTATTATTGAAATTATTATTACTATTATTTTTTTTCTTTGTTATTATTAATTATTAAACATAAATAAAAGTAAAAAGTAAAATTAATATAAGAATAAATAAAAAGTAAATAAACTTTAAAATAATAATAAATTTTTTAAAAAAATGAACATCCAATATTTTCCTACTTATTTTTCTCTGATAAAATAAATTCCTATTTTTAAAATATTTCCGCTTCTTTCCATTGATCGGTAAAATCAACGAGAAACTTTTCAAAACTGTTGGCAGATGGCGATTGTACGATTCCGGACGATAAAGTCATTTTCATTCATGTTTAAATTGATAATCAATTTAAAATTTCAAAGTTTTAAATACTTTAATAAAAAAATAAGCTTCTTAAATTAAATGCTTGAGTTAAACTTAAAAATTAAAAATGAAGAATTTAAACTCAAAAATAAAATAAAAATTAAGAATTCAAAGTCAAAGATAAAATCTAAAATTTAATAATTCATTAAATAAAAAAAATGAAGAATTTATTCTCATACATAAAATTCTAAAAATTCAAACTCAATTTACGATTTATGACTTACATTTATTTTATTTATGTCAAATATTAAAATAAAAATTTAATATCCAAGTCAATAAATTTGAATTTGATAATTTAATGTATAACTAATTTCAAATGTTTAATAATTCAAAATCAAAATTTATCATAAAAAAAAATCATCAGCAGTATAAAAAAAATTAATAACAAAAAAAAATTGTAAATTCTGCGCCATTTTTTGTTTCGTTAATTCGAGAAATTAATATTAACATAATTTAAAAAATATAATATATATTTGAAAATTTCTGTAAAAAAGAAAAACGTCATCATCGTGTATATAAAAAGAAAAGTTTCTCATCACCATAAAAAGTAAAAATAAAGAGTTTTTTTCAACTTAATATTGACTTACCACTCACATATTTCCGGATACAAAGCCGTATTGTTGACAGAGAACCTAAAAAAGAAAAATAAATGGAGTTTTGAAATGAAAATAATTTTTCTATTCACCTATATAACTATAAATTCTTGTTTTCTCTCTATTTATAGACTTTGTCTAATTACAATAAAAGTTGTATAATAAACAAATAATAATATCAAACAAGAGATTGAATTATCTTATCGAATATTCTTTTTTCTACTTTTTACTAAAAATTCTGTAAAATTAATTTTTTGAATAAGTTTTTCTCAAATATATATTTAATTGAAGAATTTCCGAATAATCGAAATTTCGTAAATTGAATTGTCAACAAATAAATTTTAAAATTCTCAAAGAATTTTTTTAAAAATTTTTTTAAAAATAATCGACTTAAAGAAGAATTTCAGAAAAATAAATAAGAATAAGTTTTCAAATTTTTGTTTAACAAAAAGTATTCAAGTTTTGAATGTAATTTAATTCAGAAATTTAAAAAAAAATGTAATTAAAATTTTTTTTTAAATATTTGTATTTCCGAAAATAATTTAAAAATAATTGAAACAATTGAAAATTTTGTCAACATTCATTGAAATAAATTTTATATTTTGATGCATTTTATTTTTGTTTACATACTTCTGAAAACTATTCTGAAATATAATCGTAATTTTTGAAGAATTCTAATTGAAAATTACAAAAATAATTGAATTGCAAAAAAAAAAATTTAGAATGAAAAGAAACTTATTAGCAGGATTGCATAATAAATGTTATTTAAAAGAAAAAAGAAGAGAGGTAAAAAAAAACTCACTGTTCAATTCCATCGAAAACAGCTTCACGGGCTGGAAGTCCACTGTCCGAGTTTGTTCCACTCTGAAACACAAAAATTATTATTATATTTCTTTTTCTTGACTGCAATGAAAGTGACGACAATATTTATTTTTTCAGACTCTGCTGAATTCGCGCAAGGAGGCCAAAGTTTTGTCCCATAAAATACAAACAACAACATCATCAACAACAACAATAACAAAAATAACAACAATAACAGAGCGAGACGCGAAGAGAACAAAGTAAAAGTGATGTTACGCAATTTTAGTTTATTTCAGGTAAATAGAAAGCCCTTGACTGTTTTACAAAAGAAACGGAAGTACGCGTAATCAATTTGCGACATTATTTACTTCAATTTTTCCTTTTTCTTCTTTTACAAAAAAAAAAAAAAAAAAAAAAAAAAATTCGCAAATTTATTTATTTATGTATTTTTTTCTAACAACATTATTTTTTCTATATCTATTTATTTTTTACTATTTCTTATTATCATTTTTTTATTTATTTATAGAATTGACAGCATATTATTAATAATTATTTTTTATTATTAACGCATGGAAACAGATAAAAAAATATGTTTATTTATCATTTAGATATACATAATTATTTATAATAATTATTATCATTTTAAATACTTCTAATTATTTGTTATTAACATATATATTTTTATTATTTACAATTATTTCTTAAAATAATCATTTTCGTTATTTATAATTATAATTATTATATTATTATACTATTCATATTATTATTCTTATTAACTTAATATTTATTTATTTGTTACTATGAATGTAATTTTTATTTCGTAATGTAAAATAATATTTAAATTATTGTATTCTAAAAATATAATTATAATATTTTTTTAATAAAAAATTAAAAGAAATCCAAAAATAAAAAAAAAATTTAAGTGTCAATATTATTATTTATCCTACGATGACAACAAAACATGTCAACAATAAATAAATGATGAAAAAACAGAAAAATTACCGGTAAATTCTATTATAACTGATTCACGAAAAAAAATTGCACTATCATAATGATTTGACTTTATGTAAAACCGCAAAGGAGACGCGATGAGTCAAGGAAAAAGAAAAAAAAATTCACACACTTTCCAGAAATGCCGCACGAAACTATCCAGAATCTCGATTGCGTCATTCACGATTTATTTCGTTAATTCCAAACGCTTAGAAGTTTAACAGAGAGAGAAACGATATTTCTCATCAAAATTAATCTCTTATTTTGCCGCATGTTGTGTAAAAAACAATTTTTTTCTCTAAAAGATGAAATTAGAAAATTAAAAAAAATTGTGTGATAAAATAATTTTTAGTAAAAAAAAAATAAATATAATAAAATAGTAAATTAAAATAAATAAAAGTAAAGAAATGAAAATAAATAAAAGTAAAGAAATAAAAAAAATTACTATAGAATAAAAAAATTATTGTATTATAAATAAATAATACCAAAAAAGATCTAAATAAATAATTAATCAGCAAAAACATAGAATAAATAAATAAACAAAAGACAGTTGAATAAAAAATAAATAATAAACAAAAGAATTGAGTAATAAATGAATATAAATAAAAGAAACTGTAAAATAAATAGTAAACAGTTAAAAAAAAATGTAATATTTCTTTAGAAACAAACGAAATAATAAATAATGAATATTTAATAAATAAATTCGACTAATAAAAAACTGAACAATAAAAAATAATAAATAAATAACTTCTTTATAAACAAACGAAATAATAAATAAATTCGACTAATAAAAAACTGAACAATAAAAAATAAGAAATAAATAAACAACTTCTTTATAAACAAAAAAAATAAAAAAAAAATATATAATAAATAAATTAATTAATAAATTCGACAAATAAAAAAACTGAGCAATAAAAAATGAGAAATAAATAAAAATGAAATGATAAAAATTAGGACGAAATATATATACATACACACAATGTGAATGTAAAGCAATTGTCAATTCTCTCATTGTTCTAAATTAGGCAACGACGATTTAATTTGCAGAATTATATGACTCACGACTCCCACTGAATAGTTTTCTCACTCCATAATAAAAATCGTGGCAACTTAGAAATTGAGAAATTATTCCAAATTAATAGCTAGAAGAAGGGAGCGGCGGGCAGGTAGTTGAAATAGAGAAAAAAAAAGTTAATTACCCGTGTAGATAAAATAAAATAATAAGAAAAAGCAAAACAAGAAAAAAAACTATATAAAAAAATAAAAACAATAAAAAAAATAAAAAGGAAAAAAAATGTAAATAAAGGAAGAAAATAAAAAAAGAAAAAAAAAGAAAAAAAAGGAAAAAAGATAATAAAAAAGGAAAATAAATAAATATTTTACCCCAAAAAGAAAACTAATTTTCCAATACAAAAAATAAATACAAAAAAAGGAAAATTTCCAAAAAAAATACAATATCAGAAAAAAATCATTGAATAATTTAAAAAGAGAAAAAAACAAAAAAAAACGCCTAAAGCAGAAGAAACTAATAAAGTGGACTTTCTGCGAGAGAAGCAGAACACATGGAAACGAAATACTTTCTCCCAATCTAATTACATTGGCGCACAATGCCACAATTACTGGTTTTACGACGGAAACTGTTTACTCTTTTCTTAAAAGTAATGCGCTAACAGCAGATGTTACTGCGTAAAATACCTTTAAAACGACGCTTTTTTCATTATTCTTTCTTTAAATATTTTTCTGTTTATTTTGCCTATCTTTATTTCTCTCTCTCTTTTTTTTTAAAGTCAATGTGTTACAAACGTAAAAGAAGAGAATAAAATTTTTATTAACTGTCACCCATATACAATATATTTATATGTTACACAGCTATATAATAAATATATATTCAGCGAGAAGAAGCTATAAACGGGTAAAAAGAGACAAAGTCGACGGTATTTGGTATTTCTCGTTTTACAGGTCGTTGGCAGTTTGCATCCTATTTCTGCAAAGCTCTTCAACGTTTTTGAAACGTTTATATAATATAAAATAATATAATCAGAGTAGCTACAAAAATTTAATTTTGTTTTTCCCTAACTTTTTCCTGATTTCCAGAAAAAATTTTCTCTTTTTCTCTGACTCTAAAGAATATTCTGATTCACTAACTTCTTTTTTTAATAAATATTTAATTATTATTATTTTTCCATAGGAATTAAGATTTTCGAAACATTCAAATTTCTTTCAAATTCAATAATTTATAAGAATATTATCAAGAATTCAATTATTTTCATAAATAATACAATTTTTCACATGAATTCAATTACTTAAAAAAATGTAATAAAATTCTATGTAAGAATTCAATTATTTTTATAAATAATAAAATTTTTTATAGGATTTCAATTATTTTTAATACAATTTTAAATAAATTCCTCGAAAAATGTAATTATTTTTAAAAAAATTTTTGCAATTCAATTACATTTTACAGAATTTAATTACATTTCACAAATAATTAAATTTTTTGCTGAAATTCGAATATTTTCAAAATCTACTATTTTAATAAAATGTCTCAAAAGAATTTAATTATTTAAAAAAAAATCTAATAAAATTCGATGCAAGAATTCATTTATTTTCATAAATAATAAAATTCTTTACAGGATTTGAATTATTTAAAAAAATGTCATAAAAATTCATTGCAAGAATTTTCAAATACATTTTTTTTACAATTCTATTTTACAAAATTTTCTTTTTTCGGAAATTCTCCAATTAAATATATATAGAAAATAAAAACTTAAAATAATTTTAACCAAAAATTCAATTAAACTTTTTCAAAAAAATTAATTCTACAGAATTATTAGTCAAAAATATAAAAAATTCAGATATTCAAAGATTTTAATTTGAAACTTTTTCAAAATTCAATTATTTCTAAAAAATTAATGTAATGCTTTTAATATTCAATTATTATCTAAAATTTGAATTAAAATTAATTTTTAAATCAATTTTTATTAGAAAATTCTACGAGAATTCAATTATTTAAATACAAAAACAAATAATTTAATAAATAATTGAATGTTTTTTAAAATTTAATTCATTTGACGAATTTTAATTTTTAATAAAATTTTTAACTACAATTACATTTTTTGAGATATTAAATAAAAATTCTTTTAAAAATAATTTAAATTCTGCGATGGGTTTTATTATTTATAAAAATAATTTATTTCTTAAAAAAAAGTTAGCGTTGAATTTTATTAATTTTTTTTTTTTAATAATTGAATTCTTGTAAAATTTGTATTAGATATTTATGAAAATAATTAAATTCTTTCAACGAATTTCAATAAAATTTTTTAAAATTAATAAATTTTTCCAGGAATTCACTTAAAATTGTATTTAAAATAATTGAAATCATGCTATGAGTTTCCAAATTTATGAATATAATTGAATTTATGCCAAGAATTTTATTAAAATTTTCAAAAATAATTAGATTTCTTTGAAAAATTCGTAAAAATTAAATTATTTTCAAAAATTTTAATAAAATACTTAACATGAATTGAAAATAAAAAGATTCTTTACATTTCTTCAATTACTTTCAAAAATCTTAATAAAATTCTTCGCAAAAATTCAATTATTTTCATAAATATCCGCAAATTTCGGCAGAAGTTCAAATGTGTTTAAAAATTTTTATAAAACTTCTTCGTAGGAATTCAATTATTTTTTATAACAATTTAAAAAAAATTTCTCGATAAGATTCAATTATTTTTTAAATTTTAATGGAAGTCTTCGAAAGAATTTAATTATTGATAAGAATTTTAGTAAAATTTTTGAAAATAATTGAATTTCGGAGAAGAATTTAATTATTTCTAAAGATAATTGAATTTTTAAAAATGATTGAGAATAATAATTGAAATTTTGTCAAGAATTTTAGTATAATTTTGTCAAGAATTTTAATAAATTTTTTAAAAATAATTGAATTTCAGAGAAGAATTGAATTATTTCTAAAGATAATTGAATTTTCAAAAAATTTTTTAAATAATTAAAATTTTGTAATGATTATTATTATAATTGTGAAAATAATTGAATGTTTTGCGTAGAATTTTATTAAAATTTTGCAATGAGTTTTATTATTTGTGAAAATAATTAAATGTTTGCGTAGAATTTTATTAAAATTCTTTTGGAAAATTTTAAAAAAATAGTAGCTACTGAAAATCATTGAATTAAGAAAATTTTTTAAAAAAATAATTAAAATTTTTGAAAATAATTGAATTTCGAAAAAGAATTTTTATTTATTTTTTATTATTTATAAAGTTAATTGAAATTTTGTACCATAAATAATACATTTTATACGAAATAATACAAAAAGGAAAAGTAAAACAACACTCCATACCAAAGTACAAAGAGTCGACGCTCCTTTATCCTTGAGAATAGTGGCAATCTCATCGATGAAAAAAGTTTCATTGACAGCATATCGTTTTTGAAAATCCTGAAGCGAATGTAATTTACCCATCCAAATTGCATAATCGTCTGGCAATCGAGGAAGGAATAAAATTGATTTCCCACTCTTTAAATCAATTGCTCCAAAGCAGTCCGGTTCCTCAACACCGAAGCACCATTGAAAAAAGGATTCCTGGAAAAATGTTTGAAAAATAAACCGGCAGGTCAACTTACGAGTTTTGATACATATATGTATATATTTGGTTATGTGTATAGTATACAAACAGACAATAAAGAGTAAAAGAAGAAACCGAAGAAACTTTTGCCATGGGAACACAGTATATATACATCATCATCATATTGTACATATATAGTTAGAAGCCAGAAATTCTTTGATCTTTCGCGTTGTCCAAAACTTTCTAATAGAACCGAGAGAGAATTAATTTTTGCAATAGTTACACTATTACAAAATTTGGCACACTTTCTTTTTGACAAAAAAGAAATTAGAACTGTTTCTCTTATTTAAGGAATAATCTCACAAATTTTGTCTAATTCTATTAATTTGTAATTTAGACGAAAAAGAGGAAATTAAATTGTAATTCTTTTTTGTGAAATGTAAAGAGTTTTTAATATTTTTAATAATCAGAATGTCACATATATACAAAAATATAATTAGTTTAAATCAAATAAGAGAAAATTTTACTTAAAACTATAAATTAAATTTTTCATAACTATAAAACATGTTTTATAATTTATTTATTTATTAAATAATAATTAAAGATGACCGAGTGATAAAAATCATTATCAATTCAATTATTATTTTCAAGAATTAAAAACTAAAATTCTTCTTTAAATCCATTATTTTTAATAATTTGCGAAAAAGTTATTTGACAATTTTCAAATCCATTTGTTTACAATATTCAATTTTACGAAATTTCAATTATTACTAAATTCTTCAATTAAATATATATTAGAAAGTAAAAAAATAATTAAAAAAAATTCAATTAAACTTTTTCCAAAAAATTAATTTCAAAATTCAATTATTTCTAAAAATTCACTCTATATTGCTCTTAATATTCAATAATTATCTAAAATTTTAAATGAAATTCATTTTTAAATCAATTTTTATTTGAAAATTCCACTAGAATATTCCATACAAAAATAAATAATTTATTGAATAATTAAATGTTTTTTAAAATTGAATTCCCATAAAGAATTTTATCAACAAATTTTTAAATAATTGGATTCTTTCGACGAATTTTAATACAATTTTTTAGAAGTAGCATCCTCACCCGAATGTTATAACAAAATTTTTTTAAATAATAGAATTCTTTCGGCGAATTTAATTAAATCTTTAACTGTAATTACATTTTTTGAGAAATTCAATTAAAATTGTATTAAAAATTTTTGAAATTCTGCGATGATTTTTATTATTTACGATTACAATTGAATTCCTAAAAAACAATTTATTATTTATGAAAATAATTAAATACGAAGATTTAAAAAAAAATTTTAAATATGATTTTTCTCAAAAAAAAATGTATGTCAATTTTTTTTTAAATAATTGAATTCCTGTGAAATTTTTATTATTTATAAAAATAATTGAAGTTCTGAGAAAATAATTGAATTCTTCTAATGAATTATAGTTATTTATGAAAATAATTGAATTTCTGTGGAAAGAAATTTGATATTTAAATTTTATTTAAATAAATAAATAAATATTTATTAAGAAAATTGAATTCTTTCGAAGAATTGCATTAGTCTTAAAAGTAATATTAAACCTGTATTAAAAAATTGAAATAATTTCAACAGAATTGAAATTAAAACTTATCAAAAAATAGTTCTACAAAATTATTCATTTAAATTCTGAAAAATTCAGATTTACAAAGATTTTAATTTAAAACCTTTTCAAAATTCAATTATTTCTAAAAATTCATCCTATAATGCTTCTTATATTCAATTATTTATTATCTAAGATTTTAATAAAAATTCATTTTTAAATCAATTTTTATTAAAATATTCTCCTGGAATTCAATTATTTAAATATGAAAATAAATAATTTATCGAATAATTGAATGTTTCTTAAAATTCAATTCTCATGAAGAATTTTATCAAAAAATTTTTAAGAATAATTACATTTTTCGAGGAATTAAATTAAAATTGTATTAAGAATAATTGAAATTATGCGATGAGTTTTATTTATTTATGAAAATAATTGAATTCCTAAGAAGAATTTTATTTATTTATAAAAATAATTGAATCCCTGTTAAGAATTTTATTATCTACGAAAATAATTGAATTATTGCGAAGAAATTTATAAAAAAAAAATTTGCAAATAATTGAATTTCTGCGAAGAATTCTTTTGAAAATAATTGAATTTCTGCAATAATTTGTAATTTCTCTAAAAATTCTCCAAAATGATTAGATTGCTATTAAAAAACATACTCGAATTAAAATTTATGTAGCTTTTTATTTTTTTATTTTATTTATTTATTTTTTTTATTTTTTTATTCATTTGTATTTTATATTTTATTGTTATTTTATTTAAAAAATTTTTTTATTTACTGCAAATTACATTTATTGCAAATTACAAAATGAATTTAGAATTCAACAGTTACAAGTAGTAGTAACAGTAACAATAGTAGTGCAGCTTCAAAAAAAAATACAGAAATATTCAAAATTGCTACTTTTAAATTTCCTGGTAAATTTCCTGACCTCCAAGTTTCTATCTTTTTTTTCCGATCTCTACAGTTTCCTAACTAGAGAATTTTGAGAATTGATAAAATTGATAAGAATTTCACCAATAAAAACAATAAAGGCCATAGTGTAACCAATAACAGCAATTGTTAAAACACGTTGAGACAAATCAAAAGACGCATCCTCATTTAAAGATGCCCCTGGTGGAATCGTTTCTTTTGATGACTTGTAAAATCCCCATTTATCCATCAGTCCAGTCTCGATCATTCCTTTCAGTCCTCTGTTGACATTATCCGCATACGGTAAACTGCGTTGCATCCAAATTACTCTTCCAGCATAGGCCATTGGCTCTTCTACCCCTCTGCCATCAAACTTTTTCAGCAAATTAATATTCTCCTTACGCCAATTTTCAAAAAGAACCGACGCCATAACACATGAGACGTTCTTGTACTTAACAAGATCGTTCATACAATCGTACCTCTGATAATTAATCGTATAAACAATACCTTGACTCTGTAATTTTTCGTAGTACATCTTTTCAGTGCTACTGGCAGATGTTTGATACGTTAGAGCGGGGCCCATAAATACTGGTAACTTCGAATTAACAAGATCCTGCAGCGTATGAATTTCTCGTTTTGGAATTATTTGCAAATGCATTTCGACCAACAGCGAATGAAAGAAGCCAGAGAACACGATACTCATCAGCAGAAGGCACACCAAGACAAATCTCTCTTTAAAGCTTCTTGGATCATCCCGAAGTCCGGTGCCAATAATAACAATACCAAAAATGTTAAAAGTTTGCCATAACTCGTTGGTAAAGTTCAATTCAAGTAGAATTAGTCGTATCAAAGTGATTACGAAAAGCGTCATCAAAATCGGCAGAACGAAACTAAAATCAAAAGGATCCGTTGAAATATCAGTGGATGTGAGAGGAACAACAGCAATCATACTCTCCAGATACAAAACATGACTTCGAAGCAATGCGTGACGTTTACATCTGAAATTATGATAGTAATTGTATATTCCAATAATAAACTGCTTTCTCCTTCCAAGTAGACCTCTGAAGTCTTTATAAATAATTTTCTCGTCACATCCAAAATTACCATTAGATTCTGGAAGCGATATTTTTTCCGGCTTCAATTTGAAATTCATTTTCTTCGCCAAACCTTCGAAAACCGTGAAATAACCATCGTACAGCAACTTCCATACGTACTGAACGTTCTTCCCATACAAATTTCTCCCTTTATCAGGAAACCAATCGAATTCCGGATTCTCATTCTCAATTTTTCCCAATTTTTGAATTCCATAAACATTACTGTACGGATTATATTGATGAAGAACGGGAAATTTTTCCATTCTCTGCAATTTAGATGACAAACTTTTTGGTGTAAGTTGTAAAATACTCACATCTAGAAATTCACTCTTCCAGAAGAATTTAAGGATTTCTTCGTAATTTGCATTCTCCATATGAACGATTAATAATTTCGGCAGTGGATTAGAATAAGAGATTGTTCTCATCATTTCGATCAACATTGAAAGACGAGAATATTGTAAATTCTCGTTTCCAAAAACTACAACGAAGATTGTTGTCTCCCTGATGTTGCCTCCAAATTGAGAGGGAATATTTGATTCCGTTAAATTATCAAGTGTAGAGTATAGCGATGGTACATTCGCAGCGACATTGCGAATAAAATCGTTAGCCAGAGTGGTATCATCATCAACGAGGAACATAATCTGATGTTTTGCCGATTGTACAAATTTGTCATCTTCTCTAGATGTATTCAACCAAATAGATTCCGAACATTTCCACGGAATTAAGAAACACAGCAGCCAGATGCTACAAAACGGAAGTATTCGCAGTTGTAGCATTCTGAATCAAAAAAGTTTTCAACACCTCAATTGCAGACACGTGTCTGGACAAACAATGTGTCAACTTTCAGTTTATGTTGTTTATCAAAACTTCCTATCAGTTTCATCAATTGTTGCAAATCGTTTCGCATAGAATTTTTGATCATGGTTACAATGTTTACCATTTGGTTACTAGGCACTGACTTAACTATTCAGTGGAGATGGTTATCGAATCTGAATATTTTGTAGCATTGTAGAAATTTTGATAAGTTCTTTTTTCTTTGATGATTATCACGATTCGATGAATTTTTTATCAAATAATTCTGGCTAGGGAATTATCACAACAGCGACCAAGTTAATTAGTTGTGTACTGTCATCGAGTTTCTTCTTCGACTCCAGTCCAGAAAATCTCTTCATCAAGTACCAAGTGCCTTCTTCGAGTCTCGTTCTAGTTAAATTCATTCAAGGAGATAATTTCTACTACGAGACACATTTCTGTATTTTTCTGAGAACTGCATTACCTCGACATCAACGTCAAATCAATAATTCGGTCACTCCTAAGCTGAGGGGTGTTTTATCTAATTTACATCGACACCTGTACTCCGGACCATTCTCGAAAACAATTCGAGGGAAATCTTCTGCATTCTCTGTTTGCGCTTGACAAAGTCATTTCCTCGACGCTCTTTCTTAAAACCTGTCTTCTTAGTACATCAATACAACTTAAAATGTTTCTCGTTGCACAAACATTCAACAATTTTATTCACTGAAAAATTTCCATGAGCTGCATAATTTTATTTTCAGTTGCTGTATCCAGAAAATTGATTGTGATTTCCAAAATGAAAATAAGAAAAGCCAGCGTGTAACCAAAAATCACAATCATTAATACTCTTTGCAGTAAATCGACTGAAGCCTCGTCAATAGTAACGGATGACCTGGTACTTTCTGTAGAAGATTTATAGAGACTCCATTTTCTCATTAGTCCTGTTTCGGTCAAAATTTGAATACCTCTGTTGACATTATCAAAATATGGTAATCTAGGTCGCATCCAAATAACTCTCGCAGAATGTGCAACAACTTCGTCTACAGCTTTAATCCCAATTGATGAATCCATTTTGGTTAGATTGGGCCAACTCTCAAAAAAATTCGAAACAAAGACACACGAGACATTCTTGTATTTAACCAGATCGTTCAGACATTTGGAGAAAGAATAAAACAAGGAATAAGTTTTGCTCCTATTTCCCAATTTCCGTAGGTAGAGTTTATCGCCGCTGTTTTTTGCTATTTGATATCGTTGAGCTACATCCATAAAGACTGTTAAATTCGAATTAACAAGTTCTTGAATAGTATGAATCTCTTGTTTTGGAATTGTTTGTAAATTCTTTTGAACCAACAATGAATGAAAGGAGCCTGAATAACCGATACTTAAGAGAAGAAGAGAAATCAAGACAATTCTTTCTTTAATGCTTCCTGGAACATTTGGAAATCCAGTGCCAATAATGACTCCAAAAATGTTGACAGAATGCCATATCTCTTTGGTAAATTTCAATCTAAGTAGAATTAGTAGTAATAAAGCAATTAATAGTAAAGTTAACAAAATCGGCAGAATGAAACTAAAATCAAGAGTATCGTTTGATGATTCAGAGACTGATTCAGGATAATAGGCAATTACAGTTTGTATATCAAAAATACGACTTCGCAGAAGTGCCGATTGAGGACATGAGAAGCTGTGATAGACGTAATAGACTCCTATAATAAAATCCGCTTTTTTACGAAGTAAAGGTGTGAATCTTCCAGTTATACTCGATGTAAAACATCCAAACCTACCACTGGCATTCGTTTTAACTGGTTTTCGTGGAATCAAAATAAAATTTAGTTTTCTAGCTAAACCATCGAATAATTTAAATGGTGCTATTAAATAATTGGAAGTTACATACTTTACATGCTTTTGGTACAAATTTTCCCCTTTGTTCGGAAAGTACGTGAAAGTTGAAGTTTTTCCAAATTTTTGAATACTGTAAACATTACTGTACGGATTGAATTGATGAAGAGCGGAAAATTTCTCCTCTCTATACAACTTAGGTGACAAACTTCTTTGTACCAATTGTAAAATACTCACATCTAGGAAATCATTCGCCCAGAAGAATTTTAAGATTTCTGCGTATGTTGCGTTTTGGTTCTCCAACATGTGAACGATTAATACTTTCGGCAGTGGATTAGAATAAGACACGGATTGTAATATTTTCATGAACGTTGATAGCCGAGAATATTGCAGATTCACATTCCCACTGATTAGTACAACAAAGATTGTTGTCTCTCTAGGAATATTCCCTACTTGTCGGGGTAATGTTGATTCCGTTAAATTTTCAATTGTTAATGATGGTATATTCGTAGCGATGTTGCGGATAAAATCATTAACCTGCGTTGTGTTATCTTCATCATCAACGAGGAACATAATCTGATGTTTAGCGGACTTTGTCTTCAAGTATTGCACCAAACTGTGATACTCTCCAGATTTTTGCAACCAAATAGATTCCGAATATTTCACCAGAGTTATGAAGCATACGAAACTAATGGTAATCGAAAACACTTGTGAAGGAGACATTGTTGACTGATTTCACCTCTTCAATTTCTTACTTTTTCCTGCGAACTGAGTCCTGGTATTGAATCTCTTCATCAATTTTCGAAATTCCATGCCAACTAAGCCGACCTGGTATCGAACCTCTTTATCAATTTTAAAATTGAATTCCACATTGCTTGTGTTTGACATTTTGCTAATGGAACAATGTTTACCTTCTTGTTACTAGGATATTATCTTTTCCACTTTTTACTAGAATTATTTTCTATCACCTACAACCAGGAACTTAGGAACATTAACTAATGTTTACCACACCGATATAATAAAATTCCCATCCACAATATACTTTGGAAAGCTTTACCTATACAAAATTGATTGTGATTTCCAGAATAAAAACAAGAAAAGCAAACGGATAACCAAGAGCCGCAATCAATAATACTCTCTGCGGTAAATCGACTGAATCTTCATCAAGAGAAACGGAAACTTAAAATTGAAGCTTGTTTAGAAAATCATCACATCTATTATCAGCATCAGGAATAATTGTATTTTGTTTATCTATTGATACACTATCCTGACTTAAAATTGAAGCTTGTTCAGAAAATCATCACATCTATTATCAGCATCAGGAATACTTGTATTTTGTTTATCTATTGATACACTATCCTGACTTAAAATTGAAGCTTGTTTAGAAAATCATCACATCTATTATCAGCATCAGGAATACTTGTATTTTGTTTATCTATTGATACACTATCCTGACTTAAAATTGAAGCTTGTTTAAAAAATCATCACCTCTATTATCAGCATCAAAAATAATTGTATTTTGTTCATCTATTGATACACTATCCTGTTTTAAAATTGAAGCATGTTTAGAAAATTCAATAGTTGCCCAGAGGTATAAATCAAGTCTTTTAATTGACTTTGGAGAATATTTCAGTTTGGGAACAGTTTAGCAATAAACATACTGTCCGAAATTCATCAAACTGAATTTTCCGTACCAAATAAAATTGGATTCAGGTGAATTCTGCACATACAGTTCCTGGACACCAAGAAGAAAAACTTTTTAAACTAAGACATAAAAACACAAGGCAATTAAGTTCCAGAGAGTTACTTAAAAGCTTGTCCAGACCAAAAGAGCATCTAGTCCCAAAAAGAAAATATATTCGGAATTTTTAATAAAAAAAAGAAACCTTTCCCAGTGGATTTAGACCGGAAATTCCAGGGGAAGATGAAGGTTTCTTTGATCAGTAACGCGTGAAGAGAAACGTCTCGCCATTTCTGTTGCGCTCTTCTCTTCTGTTTGGGTTCGTATTAAAGTCCACGGTGTATTCCCTTCAACTTCACGGGAACGATCGGCCAACGGGTCAACGTGCTCTAGGCATGGCACGAGTAGCAGGTATATTATCTCAAATCAACTCTATATATATATATATATATATATATATTTGATGCAACAACTTGAATCAAGTTTGTTGATCATTTATAATCAGTGTTGCCACAAAAAATTAATTTTGTCTTTCCTGGACTTATCCCTGATTTCCAGACAAAATTTAAATTTTTTCCCTGACCCTAAAGAATATTCTGATTTACTATCAAAATTATTAGATAATCAAAAAAAATTTCTATTACATTTATTTACAAATTTGCAAATCTTCGCTGTAATTCAAATATTTTCAAAATCTACACTGAAAAAATTTTGGACAGACTTTCAATGTACTATTTTAATCAAACTTCTCAATAGAATTCAAATTATTAAAAAAAAATGTAATAAAATTCTTTGCAAGTATTTCCTGATACTCTCTAGCAGCAAAAAATCTTTTTCTCACTAGTGTAGAAAAAAATCAATTTCAATTTAATTATCAGCGAATAAAAAATCCGAAAAGAAAAAAATAAATTTTAGTAGAAGTTTTGAATATTACAAAGTCAATTAAATCCTCTTTGAAAAGGAAATATTTGAAACGTAAACAACTAATTGTTTATTTGTTTCTAGAACTCTGCGGTTTTAATTATTATCAAACGTGTTTCGTGAGAGAGTGTGTGTGTGTGTGCTTGCATGCTCGTGTAACATTTTCAGGTTCAATTCATTTCCGCACGTGACATTTCTCCTCTGTTTACGCGTTCATATTCAGTGAATTTATTTCCTGCTTTTTTTGTTTGTTTGTTCGAAATAATTAATTTTACCATAATCAATCTCCTTGAAACGTTATGGAGATTATTTCTGGATTAAACTAAATACACATATATACGTGTATACAATATTAAAAAAAAACTGCTTTTCTAGAACAAATGTACCGTTCAATGTTTGTATTGAGAGAGACCTGACGTAGCAGAAAAACACGTGCTCGATTCATTGCAATCAAGTACATACAATGAAAAAAATATACATATGTATGTGTTGTATACAATTGCTAAAGCGAAACTCAGTTACGTGATTGCGTTATATTACACGATTCTTGTTACGGTTTTGTTTTTTTATTTATTCCAGTTCATCATTTATTTTTCTTTATTTTTTTCTTCAAAATATTTTTTGGAAAATATTTCATTTATAAGAATTAATTTTTTGGAAAAAAATCGATTCATTTATTTTGAATCTTTAATTATTGTTAATCTAATAATTTTTAATCAGAATATTCTCTAGTTTCAGGGAAAAAGTTAAAATTTTGTCTAGAAATGATGGAAAAGTGAGGGAAAAAGAAAATTAAATTTTTTGTAGCAACCCTGAATAAGTATCGCCCGTAAAAAAAATTGCAATCAAATAAAAATTGTAGGAAATTTTCTTAATGATAATAATTTTGATATTCTCACTTGTTTGAAGGGCCAAGAAACGTCCGTGTCATCGTAAGGCACCTCCGTTCCACCTTGTAGGACAATGAACGTTCCAGGCTTTGTAATTTTCTTTCCAAGACGTTCGACCAATCTTTTTCGATTATTTGCAAAAAGTTCCATTGGCACTTTTAGAGTGTGCTCACCCCTATGAAAAACTGGCTCCATTGCTTTTCTGAAAAATTAAAATCAAATCATTAAAATCAAATTATTAAAACTACAATTAATGTAAATCTAAAAATACTAAAAATACTAAAAATACTAAAAATACTTAAAATTAAAAATCTGAAAACATTTAAATTAAGAACCTAAAACTATATTTAAATTAAAAACCTAAAGCTTTTTAAGTCTTGGGATATATTTTCTACTCTTTTGTTAATTTACTTTTTTAGCAAATTTTTTAGTTTTTTTTAGTCTTAGACTATATTTTTTCCACTTTTATTAATTCGCTTTTTTCGCAAATTTTTCTTTAGTTTTTTTTTTAGTTTTTTATGTCTTGGGATATATTTTCTCCCCTTCTGTTAATTTGCTTAATAATTGGTCACTTTTGCGTAAAAGTCTATTTTTCTCTATTTTTTCTCTCAATCAGTAAAAGAGGAAAATTGGATTTTTCAAGTTGTTTTCTCGCCGAGACAAAGTGTCGGGGGGCATTGCCATATTCTCCTGGCAGCTTGTTTCTCGTCGACTGTTTTTTTCTCTCTCTCTTTTTTTTCTTTTTTTTTTTTTGTTCCTGACATCGATTATAGTCTACATCATTTTCTGCGCTCGTCCCGCAAACATTCGCCTGGACTTCCGCTGTAATTCCTCACCATGCGGCTGAGTTTCTTGATTAGGTTCTTGGCTCGCTTCTTCACTATTAGTTCAACTCTTTTTAAAAGCCCCACACTAACTAGTTAGTTAGTCCAACTGTGAAATACTGAGAAAACCATGTATATAGATACAAATTACCCATATACTCTATTTTCCCGCGTCTATTTCAAAATTTATTGCCAAGAATAAGAAAAAAAAATATTTTCTCCATTTATCAGATTTTAATAAATTTCAAACTTAAGATTTTTTTTTAAATAAAAAAAAATGTTATCTTAATATTTTATATTTTCCATTAAGGAAATGAAAAGTCATTTCTTTAATGGAAAATTTTTTAATTTTTTTGTTAAATTTAACAAGAGAAAATTTTTTTATAAAAAAAAATCTTTGATGAATTTTTCTTTTCATAAAATTATATGAATAATTTGTTCGTTTTTTTTGCAGAAATTACAGCAAAAAAAAATTGAAAAAAAGGTTTTTTCTTTCCTGGCACTAAAAGTACATTTTTCTGGAGCAAATTGACGAGGACAGGAAGTAATCGATAACAAAGCAATTTATCAACGTAAGCGACCTACACTAAGCGGAACCTCGTAAAGCGACATTATTCCCAGAATTCTTCCTCTTCTATTCTCTTTTATTATTAATAAATTTATATAGAGAAAACCTTTCGTCAAGACTGAATTTTTTAAGAAGAAGAAGAAGAAAATTTTCTAAAAAACAACTTGAAAGAGAAAAAATTATTTAAAGACCAATTTTTCTATTCAAAGAAATAATATCTACTTCAGAAACATCTTCTCATTACATTTATTTCACAAAATTCAATATTCTCATGTTTTTTTAAACACTACGTTTATACATCGATTTTCTTTCTCCTTAACCTTTCCTTCTTCCATAACATTTTATTATTACCTCTACTACATTTAGTTCCTATTTTTAAATTTAACTTCCTATTTTTACTTTTGAAATTATTAATTCAAATTATTACTTTTTACTGTTAAAAATATTAAATAAAATTGAATTTTGGAAAAGTTACAATTCAATTATTTTCAAAAGTAATAAAATTCTTAGCAGAAATTCAATTATCTTTATAAATAATAAAACTTTTTGCAGAAATTCAATTATTTAAAATAAAATTATTATAAAATTCTTCGCTAAAATTCAATTATTTTCATAAATAACAAAGGTCTTCACTGGAATTCAATTTTTTTCGAAAATTATATCAAAATCTTGTAATAAATTCAATTATTTTAATAAATAACAAATTTCTATGCTGGATTTCAATTCTTTTCAAAAACTTGATTAAAATCTGAGCAAGAATACAATTTATTTAAAAAAATAACAAAATTCTTGGTTGGAATTCAATTATTTTCAAAAATTTTATTAAAATCATGTCAAGAATTTAATTATTTTCATAAATTACAAAATTCTTCGCTGGAATGCAATTATTTAAAAAATTTTTATTAAAATCATGTCAAGAATTCAATTATAATAAATAACAAAATTCTTCGCTGGAATTCAATTATTTTCAAAAATAACATTTTTATCAGAAATTTGTTAATTTTGAGAAAATTTTAATAAAATTTCTCTATAGAATTCAATTATTTTCAAAAATTTTTCTTAATTCAATTATTTAAAAAAATTTGTAATAAAATTCTACCCAAACATTTAATTATTTTCATAAGTAATAAGAATTTCACAGGAGATCGATTATTTTCATAAATATTAAAACTCATTATGGATTTCAATTATTTTTAATACAATTTTAATCGAATTCCTCGAAAAATGTAATTATTCTTAAAAATGTTATTAAAATTCGTGAAAAGAATTTAATTATTTAAAAATTTAATGATAAAATTCTTTATAAGAATTAAATTTTGAGAAACATTCATTTATTTAATAAATTATTTGTTTTTGTATTTAAAAAGTTTAATTGAATTTTTTAAAAATTATTTCAAGTTTTTATTTTCTAACATATATTTAATTGAAGAACATGATTTTAACTATCTGTTTAAATAACAAAATTATTCTTCGAAATTGTCTTATTTTGAATTCAATTATTTTAAAAAATGTTTATAAAATTCTTGTCAAAATTTCAATTATTTTCAAAAACTTTCCCCAATTCGATGATTTTCAATATCTACTATTTTAATAAAATTTCCCAAAAGAATTAAATTATTATGAAAAAATTTAATAAAATTTTACACAAAAATATTTTTAATATTTAATATTTTAAATATTTTTAATCCAATTTTAATTCAACTCCCTAAAAAATATTATTTTTAAAAATTTTCGAAAATTTTATTAAAATTCGTCGAAAGAATTAAATTATTTAAAAATTTGTTGATCAAATTCTTTATCATTATTTATCAACAAATTTTTAAATAATTGAATTCTTTCGACGAATTTTAAGAATATTTTTAAGAATAATTACATTTTACGAGAAGTTGAAATATAATTGTATTAAAAATAATAATGGATTTCTAGAAGAATTTTAGTTAAAAACACTAAAAAAAATTGAATTTTGAAGAAGTTACAAATAATTGCAGAAATTCAATTATTTTCAAAAGTAATAAAATTCTTGGCAAAATTTCAATTATTTTTCAAAAATTTTCCCCAATTCGATGATTTTCAATATCTACTATTTTAATAAAATTTTCCAAAGGAATTCAATTATTTAAAAAAAATTTGATTAAATTCTACGCAAATATTTAATTAATTTCATAAATAATAAAAATTTCACAGGAATTTAATTATTTAGGAATTTAAAATATTATTTTACAATAAATCATGAAAAAATACATGCTTATTTTTGATTTGTCAAACAAAATTAAAAAAAAAAAAATAACTACAAACTGCGGACAGAATGAATGAAAGAATGAATGAAAGACAGAATTAATTATAGTTAATTGTAACTCTAAGGTGATGACAAGTGAAAATATAACCATACTGAATGAAAGTAATATAATTCGTGGACATTAAAAAGAAGTCGGTTTTATAATAAAAAAAACTGAGTTTAAACAGTATAAATAAAAAAGTAACATTTCAATGATAAAGAAATGCACCTGTAAGCTTTGTTTGGTGACATCACGAATCTTATCGTTTTATATACTCAACTTACGACACTCTTACGTGAACAAGATAAAGTTCAATAAATAATAATTATTCTCATACTTTGTCATTTCTTTTATCTTAAAATCCGAAAAAATAAACTTTCGCGATAAATAAAAAGAAGCTAAAAAAGCATTTGTCAAAACAGAAGGCAATGCGAATTTTCTCCTAATACTAAAAGCTGAAATGAAATAAATTCTTTTTACAAATAATTCATTATCTCCCTGCGTGACGATTGCAGGGATTTTTTTTAAAACACGGAAGAAAAGTTCTTCATGAAGTGTACAGTGAATTTTCAGAAGAAAAGTAATTATGGTTGTCTGGTCTTAAATAGAATCCGTTCCTCGTAACGCGCAATGAAATAGGAATGCTATAGTGTCCTCGTACGTACACGGTTTATATTTAAGTCGTGTCATTGGACGTCTGACGCTCTTGACTGACACGATTCATATTCTCGTATTCACGAAATGAGCTCTCTGAATTGCAAAACTCGACTTTTCTAGGCCTTCCATATTCGGAGGCTGGCTAACAATAAAAGAAAAAAAGGAATCATAGAAACCCCCTCGAGGCATTGAAACGAATCAAATCAATGCATGAATTTACCTAATCTCAATTCAATTCAATTATACTGGATGTGCAAAAAATTATAAAGAAGAAAAATTAAATAAATTTTTCAAATTTGGAAATTTTTCGAATACCAAATTGTGAAGAATTTTCAAAAAGTACATTTCAAGATGAAAATTTGTCTAAATCAGACTTTGCACTCGATAATTAATTTTAAAAAATTAGCAAAAAGTAGCTTTCAAACTAAAAAAAATAGTAAAAAAGTAACTATAGAAAATTTAAATTGACGACCAAAAAAACTCGTCTTAGACACTTCACAAACCTGACAAAACTTCCATTCCATATTTTTTATTTTCCTGACTTTTCCCTAATTTTAATCAAAAATATTTACTTCTTTCTTATCCTACTGCTAATAAATTGAATTCCTGCCACGAATTTTATTATTCATGAAAGAATTTAAATATTTATAAAAATAATTTTATTCCTTCAAAGAATTTTATAAAAATTTATTAAATAATTAATTTCTTTCAACGAATTTTATGCAAATTCTAATTTAAATAATTGAATTCCTGAGAAATTTGTATTATTCATGAAAATAATTGAATTCTTATGATGATTTTTATGAAAAATTGTTTAAATAATTGAATTCTGTTTGGAAATTTTATGAAAATAGTAGATATTGAAAATTATTGAATT